GTGGTCGTGAGTTCGATCCCTGGTACTATTTAAAAAAAAAAAAGAACCTGTCTTAAAAAAAAGGGGGAGAGACAAAAAGAAATGTTTGTTCAGGAGTAATTATTGAAGCTAAGTATGTAGGGATTTGTTATACTTTTGCTGTGTGTGTGTGTGTGTGTGTGTGCACGTGTGTGCACGCGCCCATGTCCTGGGAATCAACCCAGTGGCTTTGCACACACTTGGCAAGTGCTCTGCCACTGTGCTACCTCCCTGGCAACCTTCCCTTGTTTTTTTTGTACTGAGGACTGATCCCAGGGAGCACTGAGCTACATCTCCCCACTTCCTTTTTAAAATTTTTTGACATAATGTCTCATTGATTTGACAGGGCTAACTTCAAGTTTGGGATCCTCCTACTTCAGTCTCTGGAGTAGCTGTGGTTTCAGGCGTGTGTCGCCATGCCTGCTCCCCTTGAAAACAAGGTGTGATTTAATCAGCCAGAAGATAAAATAGGTAAAGTCTTGAAGACATACACGTAGGCAAGGACTTTATGAACAGAATCCCAACTGCACAGAAAAAATATCAAGACTCAACAAAGGGGGTCATATCAAACTAAAAAGCTTCTACATAGCAAAAGTTGTAAACCAGTAGCTGGGTGTGATGGCACACACCTGTAATTTCAGCACTTGGGAGGCTGAGGCAGGAGGATTGCCGTAAGTTCAAGGCCAGCCTAGGCTACATAGTGAGTTCAAGGCCAACCTGAACTACACAGCAAGATCCTGTCTTTAAAAAATAAATAAATAAAAATGATATAACCAACAGAGTGAAAAGATAACCTACAGAATGGGAAAAATTTTGTGAGCCACTCCTTGGTTGCAGAGGATTAATATCTAGAATATATAAAGAACTCAAAAAATTAGGCCTCCTAAAATAAGAGGACACCAGGCTAGGGATTTAGCTCAGTGGCATGAGCGCCTGCCTAGAAAGCACAAGGTCATAAGTTTATCCCTGGTACCAAAAAAATAAAATAAAGTAAGAGACCAAATTAAAAAATGGGCAACTGAAATAGAGACTCCTCAGAAGACGTAGAAATCGCCAATAAATAAATGAAAAAGTGTTCAACATCACTGGTATTAGAGAAATGCAAATTAAAACAACACTGATATTCTTACTCCAAAAACAGTGGTTATCCTCAAGAAATCAAGTATTAACAAAAGCTAGTGAGGCTGCTGGGGGGAAAGGGAACCCTTCTACATTGTTGGTAGGAATGTAAACTTGTAAGAGAAAGCAGTCTGGAGGATTCTCAAAAAACTCTGAAATTGGATTTGACTCAGCCATTTCTCTTCTAGGTATATTCCCAAAAGATTTAAATAAAGACATCATATTGTCTACAGATATGATTTTTTTTTTTTGTTCTGGAGATGAAACTCATGACCTCGCACTTGCCAGGCAAGCGCTTACTCCTCTGAGCAAAATCCCCAGCCCACGATATCATATTGTAGTGATGCATGAATACTCATGTTTATAGCAGCACTATAATAACAGTCTCAGAAGGAGACTGTATGTTCATCGCAAATAGATAAAAAAATATTTATATGCAATAGAGTACTACTCAGCCTAAAGAAGGATAAACTGGAGTCTTTTATAGGTAAATGGATGCAACCTGAGAACATACTCATTAGTGAAATAAATAAGACACATGTTTGTAAACATTACATTGTTTTATGTGTGAGAAGCTGAAAGAAAAATGTATATATATATAGTTAAGTAAGTCATACTACCAATTTCTCTGAGTTCACTGAAAGGGAAGATTTGTGCCTTTATTGTTCAGACAATTGAATGCAGCTGTCTTGTGCTCTGGATGAATGATTCGGGAATGACAGTGCACAGTATATATACCATTGTTGCCTCCTGATTGATGTGTTTTGAAATTTTGTTGTAGGTTTTTTTTTCTCTACTTCTTTTTTTCTTTTTATCCTTGAAATAAAATGGATTTGGAAAAAATTTTTAAAAATAAAAACCCTAATTAAGCAAAAAATAAATAACCTTAAACAAAAATCTAAAAAAAAAATAAAATAAAAAGAAGGATAAACTTAAGAGTCATTTGTAGCAAAATAGATGGACCTTGAGACCATAATGTTGAAGTAAATCAAACATACAATTACATGGTTTCTTTTATATGAGAAATACAAAATATAAATATAAAGAACAAATTAAAAAGGTACATAATAGGAAATAGGGAAATGGATCATTTACAGAAGAGAGGAGGTGGGAAGAAGGGAAAATAAATGAAAAAGAATTAAGATTTGTTACATATATGTACCAACTCCCCACTTGGAGTATAACCATTGCATACTGTGAAGTGTACTAATACAAATATTTTTAAAAATAAAATAAGGGGTGAGTAACCTTAATACTACAACCAGCGTAATTATCTAAGGTTACCACTGAAGACAACCATTCAGCCGTGAGCCTGAGCAAAGGTAGAGAAGGAGAAAGGGGGAAGAAAGAAGTGAAGAGGAAAAAGACTAGAGAAAAGAAGTAAAAGGTAGTAGAAAATTGGAAGAAAATTTAGAGGCTGGGAATTAAGAGATTTATGTTTTATTCCTATAATCCCAGCACTCGGGAGGCTGAGGCAGGAGGATCGGTGTAAGTTCGAGACCAGCTCGGGCTACAAAGTGAGCTCAAGACCAGCCTGAACTGCATAGAGAGGCCCTGATTCAAAAAAAAAGGCTGGGTTATACTCAATGCAAAGGCCCTTCATTCCAACTCCAGTACAAACACCCAGATTCTTACTCATTAATGTAAGCAGTCTTTGAATAAGTAGTGTGAGGTGAGGAAAGAGGGTGCTGGAGTCTCCTGAGGTTTTCTGGGTGTGTGATCTCTGTATTTCTGATGAAAATGAAGTAGTATCAAATTTGAAAATAAAGTTGGCCAGGCCTGATGCACACATCTGTCATCTAGCACTCAGGAAACTGAGGCAGGAGGATTGCCCTGAGTTGGAGGCCAGCCTGAGCTGCATAACAAGACCTTGTATTAGAGAAATGTAAATCAAAACACAAAAACAGAAACAAAAAGAAAATAGGGTAGGGCTGCTATGATGTAGGATGCCTATAATCCCAGCACTTGGTGAGATTGCCATGAGTTCAAGGAGGTCCTGGACTACACAGTGAGTTTAAGGACAGCCAAGAGCTACAGAGCAAGGCCTTGTCTCAAAAAATAAAAAACGTGATCAATAACAAAATAGAGAAAAATAAATTAGAGGCATACATTTTCTTTTTCCTTTATCTGAAATGCGATGGAAAAGAGGCAAACACACTTCTCCCAGTGCCTCTGCTGTGAGCTTTGAAACACTAATGACACTATTCTGTTCCACTTGGCATCTTCCTCCCAGCTCCTGTAACATTCTGAAAGCAGTCTCCCAGCCAGGCTGAATAGTGGGGGAGTATGGTAACACAGAGCAACTCAGCGAGATCTGGTCGTGTCTCTGCCATGTTCTCCACAAGTGACTGGCTGTCATGTTCAGGCTTCAGCTTCAAAGACCAAAGCTCCTTGTTCGGTTCTAAGAAGTAGATAAACTTCTAGGTATGTGTAGAGGTTTTCCGGTCCATGTGAGGTGTTGTCACCCTGCCTATGCTGTCAGGCTGGTGGTATCATTGGCTATTCCTTGAGCTTGGGTGCAAGCCGGGTTTGTGCTGCCTACCTATGGTGGGGAGAAGGGCCATGCCGCCACTGTGTACATCAGGGAAGCCAGCTTCCTACACAGGCTAGGGGGCTGCAGTTTGGTTTTGCTTTTTGCAGTGCTGCGGGTCTGACCTAGGTCTTCCTGAATGCTAAGGATGTGTTCCACCGTCCTCTCACTTCTTGGATTCATAGTTCTCTCACTTCTTGTATTCATAGTTCAGATGCTTCTGTTCTAACTGGCCTACCCTGAGTAGAACTCAGGAATCAGGAATTTAGAATTGTTCTTTTGGCACAAGGGAAACTAAAGATATAAAGTCCTGTACAAGCCTGCATTCTGTATTTTCTTAGCCGTTTGTTCTCATTTGGATATTGTCAGTAATTAAGGTTTCTGTTACTTCTGCTTCACCAAAGTAGAGAGAGAGAGTGGGGGGAGTGTTGAAATAAATCTAGCTGAGCGTGGTGGTGCATACCTGTAATGCGAGGCTAAGGCAGGAGGATTGCCACAAGTTCGAGGCCAGCCTGTGAGACCCTGTCTCAAAAAAACAAAAACAAGGGCTGGGGTATATAGCTGAGTGGCACAGGTGCCTGCTTGGCAAACACAGAGTTGTGAATTTGATCCGTGGTACCAATAAATAAATAAATAAATAAATAAAAAGAGAAGTCCAGAAAAGCAAAAAAGACCAATTAAGCACTCTACCAATAAGTTACATCCTCAGACTTTTATTTTGAAATTTGCCAAGGGTCAGAGGTATGAAATATAAGAGGCATATTTCACATTAAGGTTTTATTGGCAAAAGAGATTTCCTTTTTGATATTCATCTTTTTCTTTTTCCTTTGTTACTATCCTAGTCATTACCACCACCACCAACATCACCATCAAAAAGAGAGATAGGAAAAAAAAATCTGGAGATGAAATTAGCATTCATCTTTAGGATGCTAATTACTCCAGGGAAGTAGTGCCTGATAGGTTTACACTAGAAAGGGTTTTGTTTTATTTTATTTTATTTTTGAGATAGAGTTTCAGTTTGCAGTTTGGGCTGGCCTTGAACTCACTACAAACCCAGGCTGGTTTTGAACTCAAGGCCATGTTCCTGCCTCAGCCTTCCAAGTGCCAGAATTACAGGTGTCTGCACTACATGCCTGGCAGAATAGTTATATATGGTTTTTTCATTCTGTGGCAGAATTCCTTTAATTTTTTGTTTCTAATTTTTTATCCTTCTGTTGAGTTCATTATTATTAACATTTAGAAACATTTTCTTCTGGGGAGCCAGGAACTCCCTCAGTCTCCAACATCTAAATATCCCATCCTTCTGACCTCTATTTCTTGTGTCTTCCTGCAGCCATATGTGTCACTATCGCAGCAGATGGCACCACCTAGTCCAAGCAGCAGCACCCCCAACAGCAGCAGTGGGGGCAGTGGGAATGACCAGCTGAGCAAAACCAACCTGTACATCCGCGGATTGCAGCCGGGCACGACTGACCAGGACCTTGTCAAGCTGTGTCAGCCGTAAGTTGGAAGACACTCGTGGACAGTGCAGACTTGTGATGCTGGCTTATTGCCAGGCGTTATGCTGAAGTGTGACAGTGTGATGCTTCTGCCCCACAGCTGCAAGGTGTCTCAGCATCCACTCTTTAAAGATTCTTCCTGCCACTAATACATAAAACCTTTATGTATTTGTCTGACAGAGGCTGGCCTTTTGAAGCCCAGTTTCTAACTTTGTAAAATTTAGCATCTCCTGGCAACTGAGAGCTTCAATGGAAAGATTGCTGTCCTTAGAAACGCTCAGGATCTCTGTAAATGTGACCAGAAGGGAGTGAGAGCTGGCAAAGACAGAAGGAATGAGAGAGGCCAGTGGAACTATACACTTGAGGAGTTTCTATTGCTGGCCATAGCTCCCAGCGAATCAGAGGACTTTTCATGTTAGTGAAGAAAGACAGTAGAGCCAGGTGTATTGTCACAGGTTTTTAATACCAGCACTCTGGAGGCTGAGGCAGGAAAATCACTGTTTATGTTCCAGGCCAACATTAACTGCACAGTGAGTTCAAGACTATCCTGAATGAGCCGGGCACTCAGAGGCTGAGGCAGGAGGATTGTTGCAATTTGTTGAACAGCCTGAGCTGCATAGTGAGCTTAAGGCCAGCCAGAACGACACAGTGAGACCCTATCTCAAAAAGACAAAAAAAAAAAGTCTAGCCCAAACTACATAAGCAAGACCTTATCTAAAAAAAAAAAAAAAAAAAAAAAAAAAAAAAAAAAAAAAAGAAAGAAAGAAAGAAAAGAAAGAAAGAAAAAAGGTGGAAGTGAAGAAAGAGGCTGCCCTCCAGCATTAAACCCACAAAGACCCTTTGACCCTGGAGGTGCAGAGTGACTGTGGAATGACCCCAGTTAGGATTGCTGGGAAAAGGCAGGATGCAGAGATGTCGGACTCAATTTCATTTGCTGGAAAAGCATGCATTTCAAATAATATGTTTGGGAGAATGGTTGAAGAAGACTGAGGGTAAGACAAGGAGATTAATGGGAAACAGGAAAGAATTGAAGGAGGGTAAGAGAATGGTAGAAAGAAGTATTAGGAACTTTTATCATCTTTTATAACTCTTTGTTGAAGTATAGCAAGAGTATAGAAAAGTGCACAGAAGTATACTGAGTACAGGGAATTTTCACAAAGGGAACACAGCCTTGGAGTAGATGCTTATATCTCAATCAAGAAACATCATCAACTCTTCAGAGCTCTGCCTGCCATTGACCAGCAGCTGCCTGAGCAAAGTCACCTGCTGGCTGCTAAACAATAGATTGGAGTGGCCTGTTTGAACTCCATGTAAATATAATCATAAAGGCACATACTTCCTCCCTTTCTTTTCTTTTGAGGATTGATCCCAGGGCATTCGCACCAAGCTACATCCCCAGCCCTTATTTATTTGTTTATTTTTATTTTGAGACAGGGTCTTACTAAACCACTGTTATGTCTGGTGTCTAGATGGCCCCCAAAGCCCCATTTGGTCATGGTGGGGATTTTCAGAGGTGGCTGGATCTGGAGTGTGTGATGCTGGGATCAAGGGAGTGTGATTTCTAAACTGGTCCACTGATTGGTTTGGAATAGTTCTGGGAGTGAATAATGGGAAGGCCCTCCGTGGGCATGGGTGCTACTGGCCCTGAGGGAGAGTAGCCTGGGTAGAATATAAAACAGAGAGGGCTGCTGTGTTGCTTGCTGCTTGCTACTTGGCTGCTGGCTGCCTTCTGCCTGTCCTGCTCTTCCATAGACTGTTTCCCCTCTGCAATGCCCCTCTGCTGTGTGCCACCCTGCCTTGGAGCCAGCTGACTGCACTGAAACCTCTACAGACTGAGGTGAAATAAGCCCTTCCTCCTTTAACTTTGGGTGTTATTTTGTCTCAACAACGAAAAAAAAAAATTTTTTTTTTTTAATTGGTACCAGGGATCGAACTCATGACTGCCTTGCTTGCAAGGCAGGCGCTTATGCTGCTGAGCTAAATCCCCAGCCCCAACGAAAAAATTTTTTTAGCAATAAGAAAAATAACCAAGACAGTTGCCCAGGCTGACCTTGAACTTGCTGTCTTCCTGCCTCAGCCTGGCATAGTGCTGGGATTATAGGTGTGCACCACCATACCCAGTTGCACATACATTTCTATATGTGGCTTCTTTGTTTTCTTTCTCTCTTGCTTTCTTGTTTTCTTTCTTTTTTTATCTGGTTTCCTTTGATAAATAATATGTTTGAGATTGATTCACGTTGTTGCAATGTACCAAAACTTTATTGTTTTATAAATTTCCATCGTATAAATATAACAGTTACTCATTCTACTTTTCCTGGACATTTTTTCCAGTTTGACTTTTATGAATAAATATAAATCATATGCTATGAATTTAACATATGTTAAGTACCTAGGGGCAAAATTGCTGGGTGACAAGATATACAACATGCCCAGTTTTTGTGGATATTACTAAATAAGTGATATTACTAAATCTGAAGTGATTAATTCTAATTCCTAAGGCAAGTTGTGTAAATTCTGGCTGCTTCAAATCCCAGAAGAGAAAAAACAGAACATCTTGCCCCCAAAATGTAGCTGCTTGATGCTTTTTGAGGTGCTCTATAAATCCCTCTCTGAGGTAGTAACTTGGTCAGTGCAGATCACAGGGGTTTCTGCTGGCACTGGCTACAGACTCTATCTCTAAAAGCTGGGTATAAATACCAAACCGGTGTCTACTTTACATGCCAGGCTCCCTTGCTTGGAAGGGTGTAAGTGAAACATAGAACACTGACTATCACTGTTCAGGGAGCTGGAAATACAAGTGTTGTTTCATGGGGGAAAAGAGTGCTGCTATAGCCATTTAGGTCCATCATTTCTACACTTAGGTTCTTGTACTAAACCATGATGTATTTTTAAAAAATCCTCTCATGCTGGCTGTGGGGGACACGCCTGTAATCCCAGTCCTTAGAAGGCTGTGGCTGGACTGCTGTGAGTTCTAGGTCAGCCTGGACTACTTACCAAACTCTGTCTCAAAAAAACCCAAAATGCTATCACAGGAGAAGATAGAGAAGAAACTCAATTTAACTGCACTGTGCTTTTAGACTTTGACTTGGATCTTCTGAACAGCTTCTGGAGGGGTGGGACAGTCAGGGTTAGTTTATGGGTGGGAGAAGGGACCCACAGGGACTGTGGAGAAGCAGCAGAGAGGCGGTGGGCGGAGCCTTTGTAGGAAGGGCGTTCCTCCTGTGCGGAAAGGACTTCCTGCCTTTGTCTCTGTAGTCTTTTCTGGGTTGTCAAGGAAATGAACGGTGCTGGATCCTGAACTCTGGTGGGCCGGAAGGAGGGGTGTGGTCTGGGACTGGAACTCCGGGTTCTCTTGGTGGGGCCCCTTCGTCCAAGGAGGAAGCAGCAGTGACCCAGCTGTTGCCAGCTGCAGTGGAAATTGTGAGCTCAGGCTCTGCTGCTAGACCACAGCAGGCTCCACCCTGGGGCCTTGATAGGGAGAGCGCGTTTGTGTCCTCTGGCCTAGAGTCAGACTTCTCAGTCCCTCCTCTTGCCTAAATTTGGGAAGGAATCCAAGCATGTAGCCCTGAAGGGCTAAGATCACCACATCCATCCTTACCCTCTCTTACTGTGCTTTTCCCCAGCCTCCAGGGCATTGCTTGGTTTATTCTGTCTAATCCTTTGGGTCACGGAAGCTCCACTGAAAATGTCAGTGAGCGGCCGCGGAGTGAAAACAAATCGGTCAATCATTGGGTGCTCTTTAGGGAGAAGAGGACAGATACGGGGGAAAATACTTGTGTGGGGTATTGGCCTCAATTTCAGTCCCTGCCAACTGTTTTCAGTTAGCTGTCATACTTCTGACTTTGTTAGTGGTTTCTCTTTTGCTCTTTAACACTGTCAGCCTGGGAGAAGGGGACTTTCTCTCCTGAGCACCCTTCAAGCTGCCCCAAATCCCTCATGCTTCCTACTCGAGCTGTGGGGCCCTGCAACACTGCCTGCCTCCAAAGCAGAATGCTCAGAAAGCTGAAAAGTGTTTCGCTCATACAAATACAGAGTGAATAAACATGTATCAGAGATGCATTTAACTTACTAATGGAAGCAAGATGGAAGAAAATGGGTTCAAAGAGTGTTTAGGAATTGTTTGTTGGTACTGAAGAAATAGTGTTGGAATAGTATTGCTGGGTTAGATACAAAACTGGTTCATATCCTGCAAGATAATAAAAGCAGTAGCCTTTAGGATTATCTTTTGGTTTTTTCTTTCATTTTCTTTTCTTTTCTTTCATTTACCTATTTATTTATTTATTAGTGATTCTGGGACTTGAATCCAAGGCCTTGTGCACTGAGCTGTAACCTGCCCCTTAAAAAAAGTTTCATATTTATTTATTATTTTTTTGTTTTGTTTTGGTCTTTTTCGTTTTTATCGGTACCAGGGATTGAACTCACAACTGCCTGCTTTCAAGGCAGACGCTTATACCGCTGAGCTAAATCCCCAGCCCTTATTTATTATTTTTGTGGTCTTGGAAATTGCACTCAGAGCCTTCACTCCCCAGCCCCCCCCCCCCTTTTTTTTTTGAGATAAGGTCTTGCTAAGTCACTGAGTTGCCCAGACTGGGCTGAAACTTGTGATCCTCCTGCCTCAGTCTTCAATAGGAAGTATAGAAGTGTATTATATTAGTCAGGGAGCATAGGTTACCAAACCATGGCCTTTTTAATATTCCTGTTCCACCTGGTGGTGTTCCTATCCTATCTCGAAGAAATCACATTTTAACAATGAAAATACAGGGTCCGGAGATTTAGCTTAGCGGCATAAGCACCTGCCTTGCAAGCCTGTGGTCGTGAGTTCGATCCCAGGTACCGATTAAAAAAAAAAAAAATCTAAAACAGTGAAAATGCAAAGTTTTAGACTATGGTTAGGTGGGCCCAGCATGGTGGCGCATGCCTATAATCCCAGTATTCAAGAGGCAAAAGCAGAAGAATCACTAAAAATTCAAGGTCATCTTGGCCTTATGTGAGTTAGTGAGACCTTGCCTCTACCCCACCCCCCAAAAAGGAATATGATAAGGCAGGGGAGTGAGCCATTTGCAGTAGGTTAAAGTTGAAGACCCTTGAATATTGTCACAGTAATGATAGTTGGATTTTTTAGGTGGTTACCATTTGATAAACATTAGTACCTTGTATTCAATTCATTTTTTTTTTATCGGTACCCGGGATTGAATTCACGATCGCCTGCTTGCAAGGCAGGTGCTTATGCTGCTGAGCTAAATCCCCAGCCCCCATCAATTCATTTTATATTCCCAGTAATCCATTTATTTGTGTTTATTTATTAATTTATTTGGATTTTTTTTTTTTTTGTCTTTTTCTTTTTTATTGGTACCGGGGATCGAACTCACGACTGCCTGCTTGCGAAGCAGGCGCTTATGCTCCAGCCCCAATTTATTTGGATTTTTGAGACAGGATCTCACTGTGCAGTTCAGGCTGGCCTTAAACTTACTGGGTAGCCTAGGCTGGCCTTGAACTTGCAGCAACCCTCCTGCCTCAACCTCTCAAGCACTGGTATTACAGGTGTGCTCCACCTTACCTGGCCAGAACTAGAATTTGAACCAAAGGAGTTCAGCTGAGTTTGACTTTTCAGTAGAGCATCAGTAGGAGAATGAGAATGGGGCAGCAAAGAAAGAAATGTCCGTAGATTTTGAGGAGGAATGGTGTTTGTACAAAAGCAAATAAGTAATGTCAAGGGTTATTTTTAGCGTCTGAGAATGCCAGCCAGAGCTCTGCCCTTACACACTCTGTAGTGTGGCCAGGGCCAAGCTTTGTCCAAAAAGTCCTCACTTTCTAGTGGATGCCTAAGTCCTAGTGGAAGAGATGAATGTATTGGTGCTCCAAGCGCATAGTCTCTTCACCCCCTGTTGTTTCCTTTGTGGGAACAGCCTTATAACAGGCTTCTATTTAGGGTGACTTTTCCTTGGACTGATGATTGAACTCAGGGCCTTACCACTGAGCCCTCCACAGTCCACACTCTGTGACAGGATCTCACTAAGTTGCCCAGGCTGGGCTCAAATTTGCACTCCTACTGCTTCAGCCTCCAGGAGTCCAGAGATTATAGGTGTGTGCCACCATGCCTGGTTCTGGTGACATAATTTTTTTCTCTTTCTTTTTATGAATTTGAGGAGGAAAAATGATCCTATGGGGCCCAGAGGGAGGCATGGGATTCACTGTCTGTGTCTTAGTCTTTTTTTTTTGTCTTTTTCATTTTTATCGGTACCGGGAATCGAACTCACGACCGCCTGCTTGCAAGGCAGGTGCTTATGCCGCTGAGCTAAATCCCCAGCCCCTGTGTCTTAGTCTTTATCTTGTTCTTGCTCCTGGCCCCAGATCATCGTCTTGCATTTTCCTTTCCCTTAGATATGGCAAGATTGTCTCCACTAAGGCCATACTGGACAAGACCACAAATAAATGCAAAGGTGAGAGAAGAGCTGTCCCAGGTGGTGGAGAGAGCAGGGGAGCAGCCATCTGGCTCTGCCTTTTGCTGCTGGCAGTCTTCAGTGCTCTGCTAGGGAGCAGGCTCTGAGGTTTGGGCCTGAAAGCCCAGTGGGTACTGAGATTCCCTGGTGTCAGACAGCTTGAGCTGAAAGTGCTGTTTGAGGTCAGAAGGTGAGAAGACTACAGAGTTCCCTGGAGTCCCCTGGGCTCACTTTGGATGTTATTTACTTGGAGGGGGTGGTAGAGGTAGGTAAGTGAGGTTGTTTCTGTTTTGCAAAGCAAGGTAATTTTCTTTTGGCAGAGATGGCAAGGAACTCAGGTGTTATTTTCCAACAATGAACAGTTGGGGGCATTAGAGCAGTTTGAAGTGGAGCTGGAGAGATGGGAGGAGGAGAGAGGGCTGCAGGTCGGGAAGGGAAGGGTGTCAGCCTTGGGAAGTGTCTACAGAAGAGGGCAGGGAGTTCCTTCAGACGTGTGTGTGCTGGAGGCTGTGGATTATCGGAAAGGCTAGTTCCCGAAGCCTAGGTTTTCAAGGGGATGGGAGCAAGGTAGGTACACAAAGACCTTGCCTTGACACTGTTGGCCCTAAGTAGACCCAGCCTCCGGGTTTGAGGAGTGTGAGGAGAACCACCTGAAACCTCTTAATTTCTCTTTCTCCCTGAAACTTCCCTTACATGGATCATAAATCTTCCCCTGTCTCCTGCAAAGCCTGAGCCTCCTACCTCTCTCACACCTCACCTCCCATAATGCTGTTTCCCTGTTCCAGGCTATGGCTTTGTGGACTTTGACAGCCCTTCAGCAGCACAGAAGGCTGTAACAGCACTGAAAGCCAGTGGTGTGCAGGCACAGATGGCAAAGGTAAGGACACTGTCTCATGACTGCTTCTCTGAGAGGTAGTGTTTAGCTTCTCAGTCCCTGTCCTGAGGTTCTCAGGGCTCTTTGGAGGCTGTGTGACCCTGAGCCAGGGCCAAGACTTTCTCAGCGCCTCCCTACTCTGGCCACACTCAGTCCAGCCAGTATCCCCTGTGCCTCCCAGACTGTGGGAGGGCGACCCTGGCTGGTGGCTTTTTCTGTTGTGCTCCTGCCTGCTGCTGGCAGGAGAGGGCCTCTTGCAGCACTGCTGCCTCGATGGCTCCACCCCAGCCCCACTTCCCTACCAGAAAGGCTGTGATAGTTTTGCAACATTCTTTGAGAAGCCAGTTGTGCAACTCAGAGGTTCAGAACAGTGTTCTCTGCTTCCCAGCACTGGTCCCTGTAGAGGCAGGGAGTGGGCCTCGGAGGGGAGGAAACCACAGCAAGGAAGGAAAATGGCTGTCCTTCTCAGAGCTGCCTCCGCTGTTACTTATTTATGTATTTATTGTGTCCAGCCTACTTGAAAACTAGAAGGTTTTCTGCACTTCTCTTAGGTCTTGCCTTTTGAAGCCATCATGAATGTTTAGAGAACTGATGAGGCAGGCCAGCCAGCCACCCATTTTTGTAAGGATTTAAGAAAAAGGAAATCCTACAAGGAAAGGCAGAGTGGGGTTAGGCTGCTGGTGACCACTGTCTAAAGCAGTGTGGCTGCATAAATCCCATGCGTGCAGCCTGGGGTGGGAGGGGGCACTGTCCTGTTCCTCCTGCAGTGAGGCCTTGTGGTGACCCAGTGAGCTACTCTGGCCCTTTGGATCCCCTCCCTTCTTGCTTTCCTTCCTTCCTCCCGGAACAACAACTTCCTACTCAGAAGTTGGTGCTGTGGCCAGAAAGGGCATGTGGAGTCCTCCAAGCTGTCCCTGAGAGTGGGGCCAGGGCAGCTTCTGGGGAGGCCATTCTGCCTGGCTCTCAGCTGGACTCTACGAATGACTTGCGTGCAGTTTGCACAGCATGAGAAACAAGTGACACTCTGCCTCCTCCCTGACTCAGTATACAACCCACAGCAGTGGCCTGGGCATGAAGGGAAGTTAAGATGCTGTGTGCTTGTGGGCCCTTCCTTGGTCTCTTCTGAAATGTCATTTTGTAGCTGAGAGGCAGGAGTGGGAAGGGGGCAAGAGATGTGAGCCTCCTTGCTCATTTTTCTTTTCATAGCAACAAGAACAGGACCCTACAAATTTATATATCTCAAACCTCCCACTGTCCATGGATGAGCAAGAACTGGAGGGGATGCTGAAGCCCTTTGGCCAGGTTATCTCCACTCGGATCCTTCGAGATACCAATGGGACCAGCAGAGGAGTTGGCTTTGCAAGGTGAGGGATGGTAAGAGTGAAAAGTGCTGGGGTTAATAAAAAATCTCACTAAGGAAGCCACCAAAGACATCTATGTCCTTCTACTTCTGTGCCCCCTGCTAGGGTGGCATGTGCCTGTAATCCTGGCCCTATGGGAAGCTGAAGCAGGAGCATTGCAAGTTTGAACCCACCCTGGGCAAATAGCAACTTCACAAAATCATCCCTTAAGATAAAAAATAAGAGAAGGGACTAAAAATATAGCTGAGTGCAAAGGCCCTGAGTTCAGCCCTTGGTACTACAAAAGCAAAACTTGATCAAAATTGATTGAGCTGGGGATTTAGTTCAGCAGCACAATGCCTGCCTGGCAAATATGAGGCCCTGAATTTGATTCCTGGTACCAAAAAAAAAAAAAAAATTTACTCTATTTTACATTTTATTGGCAATTCTCCTGCCTCAGCCTCCCAAGTGTTAGGATTACAGATATGTGCGTCCATGCCCAGCTCAACACTACATTAATCCTTTTTTTTTTTTTTTTTTGTCTTTTTCCTTTTTATCGGTAGCGGGATCGCACTCACGACTGCCTGCTTGCAAGGCAGGCGCTTATGCCGCTGAGCTAAATCCCCAGCCCCTACATTATTACTTTTGCAGGCTCAAACCAGGAGCTTCACACAAGGTGGGCAAACGCTGCACCACTGGTCTGCATATACTCCAGTTCCAGCCCCCAAATCTTTATCTTTTCACCAATACTTGCCTTTGTCCTTTGATCCAGACCCAACCAACACAAAATAATTTATATATCTTTATACCTGAGGGTTTCTCATCCATTTATCTCATTTAATCTTTATAATAACCCTGTAAATATTCATTATTCACTGAATAAAATATTATTTTACAAACAAGAAAGGGAATTCCAGCTTGTGGTACCTGTTGTAATCCCAGCTACTAGAGAGGCTAAGGCAGGAAGATCACAAATTCAAACCTAGCTTAGGCAATGTAGTGAGACCTTGTCTCAAATCAAAAGGGCTGGGGATGGAGCCCACAGGGAGTGTTTGTCTAACATGCAGGAGGCTGTGAGTTACTTGACAGGAGATTCTGTTTTTGTTTTTTGTTTTTTTTTAACTTGAAAACTACTGGATTGTAATCTGAAGCTCTGTTTTTGTTTTACAATATTTTATCTGGTTCATGAATGCTGTCTCAGCCTGAGTGTTTTTGGCTTTGGGAATAAAGATTAGTCCTCTGCTGTAGTGGGCTTAATCTGGGTAGCACCACCTGCTGGCAACCCCAGACATAACCAAGGGAAGTTACTAGGCTTGTGGTCTTTTTTTTTTTTTTTTTTTTGTACTGGGAAATGAACCCAAGGCCTCACACATTCCATGAGCTATGTTCCTTGACCTTTTAAATTTCGTTTTGAGCTATGTATGGTAGTGCACAGCTGTAATCCCAGAACTTGGGAGGCTGAGGCAGGAGGATTACCATGAGTCCGAGGCCAGCCTGGGCTAGATATGTGAGTTCAAGGCCAGCCTGCACTACATAGGGAAACCCTGTCCAGGGGAGGGGAAAAAAATATATATGTATAATTTATATATATTTATATTATATATATATATATATTTTTTTTTTTCCAATTTTGAGGCAGAATATTGTTTTGTTTTTGGTTTTGTTTTCTGGTAACTCAGTTGAACTCAGGACCTTGTTTGCCAGGCAGGCACTGTGCCACTAAGCTATATCCCCAGCTCAGAGGCAGAATATTATTGAGTTGCTAGGCTGACCTCAAACTTGTGATCCTCCTGATCCAGCTTTCTGAGTAGCTGGGATGACAGATGTGTTGCTACCACACTTAGTGGTCATCACATTTGGGGTCTGAACTCTGTGACTTCACACATCCCAGTCCTTTGATTATATTTTTGAGGCAGAGTCTTCCTAAATTGTCCGTGCTGGGCTCAAACTTGCAGTCCTCCTGCCTCAGCTCCCAAAATGCTAGGATTACAGGCTTGTGCCACCACACTCAACTTTAAATATCATTCCATAAACAAAAGTGTCCATTTAAAATTGTATGGATCACTTCTTTTTTAATAGTCATACATCTCGTTGTTATTCCAGTATTACTCATCTTTTTGATCTGTGTTTGCATTCTCTACAGAATTCTGTTGTAGTGTAACATATTTTTAGTTCTGAAAATCTCCATATGGATCATCTTGTTATATTTCTCTCCAACACAAGTAAGTTTTAAGCTAAAATTTTTTCCCCCCATGGCCATTACACTATGTCTATTGACCCATAAGAGAATAATCTTTTTAATTATTAGTTTAAATGTTATTCATACAAAATTATTTTATGTAAAGTAAATTTTATTGGAAATGCTAAAGTTCTGTTTAGTTTTTTTTTTTTTAGGTTTTTAAAATTAAAGTCAAGCAACTGTCAATAAATATCATTTAGGTGAGGCATGGTGGCACAAGCCTGTAATCCTAGCACTTAAGCTGAGGCAGGAAGATCACCATGAGTTCAAGGTGAGCCTGGGCTGCATATTGAGTTCAAGGCCAGCCTGAATTACATACTGTCTCACAAACAAAAAAGTAATAAATAAATGTAATTTATCACTATAACAGGACAGAGTTTAATATGAGTTTTGTTCCTGGTTTTTGTTTTCATCATGTTCACATAGATAAACAGATAAGGATAGGAGCTGTGTTAGAATGGAAATTCTTTGAATTCCTTCTGAATTATATACCAAGGTGATCTATCATCAAAATTATTATTTTTGTTTGTTTGAGACAGAGTCTTGCTACATAGTTAAACTGGTCTTGAGCTCACTATGTAGCACAGATTGACCTCAAACTCATGATGCTTTTCCTGCCTCAGAAGTGCTGAGATTACAGGCATGTACCTCAAAATTAATCTTTTTTTTTTTTTTTAAATCAGTACCAGCGATGGAACTCACGACCGCCTGCTTGCAAGGCAGGTACTTATGCCACTGAGCTAAATCCCCAGCCCCATCAAAATTAATCTGGAAAAATCATCATCATTTGCAGAAGTTGTCAGCTTTATTAGAAGCAAATAACTGGAAATCACTTACAAAAGGGGTTTTAATTCCAATTTTCAATACCTGTTTAGTTTTAGTTAAGAAGTAAATTGAGAGAAGGCTGGGTATGGTGGTGTATGCCTGTAATGTCAGACTTCAGGAAGCTGAGGCAGGAGGATCCCTTGAGTTCAAGGCCAGCATGAACTACATAGTGAGACTCTGTCTCGAAATGAATAAAGAAATGAATGAATAAATGTTCTATTTGAGGCCTTTTGAAAGTTGCCTTCTGCCGAGGAGTGGTTTTCATGTTACTGACATACAGTATATACTAGAGTTTAATTTACATATGGAAGTAGATAAAAGAAGTTTCCATACATTATACAATATATAAGGCCCTCTTAATTGCTTTGTTTTTTCTTCTTCTGGTACTGGGGATTGAACTGACATGCTAGGTAAGCCCTCTACCGCTAAACTACATCTTCAGCCTCTTAACTATCTGCCTAACTATGAGATGGATGATTGCTAATTTCTCTAGGCTGGCCTTAAATTTGTTTTCTATTTTTTATGTTTTTGTTTTCTTTTTTTTGTCTTTTTCATTTTTATCGGTACCAGGGATTGAACTCACGACGCCTGCTTGCAAGGCAGGTGCTTATGCCTCTGAGCTAAATCCCCAGCCCCTATGTTTTTGTTTTCTTTTGTTTTTTTGATACCAGGGATCATACTTGCCAGGCAGGTGCTTGTGCCGCTGAGCTAAATCCCTGGCCCTTCTTTTCTTTTTTTGAGTCAGGGCTTCACTATGCAATTCAAGCTGGCCTTGAGATCACTTTATAGCCCAGGCTGGTCTTGAACTTGCAATGATCCTCCTATCTCAGCCTCCAGGAGTGCTGGAATTACAGACATGAGCCACCACACCTAGTGTAAATTTTTAAGAGTACAAGTAAGCACCTAATGTATTATATTTTTAATTGTTGTTATTTCTGCTTATTCCAAACCTGAATGAGCCCTTTTACTTTTTTAGGCTCTTATCATAGTTTTTGAGACAGGGTCTCCCTATATAGTCCAAACTGACCTTGAACTCAACTGTGTAGCCCTGGCTGATCTCAAACTCATGGCAGTCTTCCTGCCTCAGCCTCCTGAGTGCTGGGATTGTAGACATGCATGTTCTTACAATTTTTAGAACACATTTATATGCATTACTCATTTAGTCTGTACAACACTGGATAGATGGATGTTATCTCTAAAACAAATGAAGAATGAGTGGGCATAGTATCTCATATCCGTAATCCCAACACTCCAGAGGTTAAGACGGCGACTTCCCTGAGTGGGAGGCCAGCCAGGACTTCATAGTTAGTTCAATGCCAGCCTGAACTGCATAGTAAGACCTGTTTCAAAAAAACCAATGATTTTGCTATACCTAATTGAATGGGCAACTATTGTGACGATAACATGATATAGCATAGTACCTATTACTGTTATGCCGGTATCCTGCTCTGAAGTTCTGTACTAATTTCACTGCATTGTTCTGTCTTGCTTTGTTGTATTTTACTATCTTAAAAAATAAAAACAACCCACCAAACCAAACAAACAAAACCAATGAGGAATGAGTCCAGAAGGTGTTTACTATTGACAGCGCTCCAGGTAGTGCGACCTGGCACTGGTATTGAGATCTTGTGATTCTTGCTACTCTTGTGCCAACAAAAATCTTTAACTCAGTCGTTTCAACATTGCTTTTTCACTTTAGATCATAAGCTTTTGCAGGCCAGGAACACTTGTGGAATATCTGTAGGGCCTTCTCTTTGTACAGATCCTGAGGGAAGCCAGAGCCTAACCGGTCTTGTGCCCCTTAGGATGGAGTCCACAGAGAAGTGCGAAGCCATCATCACCCAATTTAATGGGAAATACATTAAAACGCCCCCCGGGGTACCAGGTGAGGCATTGGTGGGGCCCAGAACGGGGTGGGGGTGGGGGTGCGGTGAAGACTGGAGCTTTGTGTGAGCGCTGCGTCAGGTGGGCTCCCCTCTGTCTTTTCTGCCAGCCCCATCCGATCCCTTGCTCTGCAAATTTGCTGATGGTGGGCCAAAGAAACGACAGAACCAAGGAAAGTTTGTGCAGAACGGACGTGCCTGGCCGAGGAACGGAGACATGGTAAGAGGACCTCTGCAGGAACAGGAGTACGGAAGAAACTGGCGCAGTGGAAGTGACTACAGGCTCCTTATCCCAGCTCAGTTGGCTGCTGCGCAGGCAGGCGGAGCCCGGAGCCGAGATGCCGCTGCCTGACCATCTTCAGTGAGGGCAGCCTGCACAGCCGGGAAGCTCTGCAGCAGCTGCCCTGGGACTTGGCCAAACTTTAATCATGGAACTAAATACACACCCAGCTTTGCCCTTCTGGGCTTGCTTCTGTCCTCACCCTAGAGCTTGCATTGTGAACGCTGTGTTCTTTGTTTACAGGGTGGTATGGCCTTAACGTATGACCCCGCCTCAGCTCTTCAGAATGGGTAAGGATGTTTCATAGAATTAGGGCACCGGAAATGACAGCAGCCCATGTCCAGGGACTTGGATGTTTCATCTCAATTTTGGGAGGAAAGAGGGGAGGTGTGTTTGAGATCAGGTCTTGCTACGTGATTTAGGCTGGCCTTGAACTCACTTTATCTCCCAGGCTGGCCTCAAACTCTCAGGGATCCTCGTGTCTCAGCCTCCCTAGTGCTGGGATTATAGGCATGTGCCACCACTCCTGCCTCATCTTAATTTTTAAATCGAGTTGGTGGGACACTTACGGTGCTTTTAGCAGTAGAGACCATGACTTTGTGATCTCCTGTGACACCTGAATAAAGTTCCCCTCTACAGGTTCTATCCAGCCCCTTATAACATCACCTCCAGCAGGGTGCTTGCCCAGTCTGCACTCTCCCCTTACCTTCCATCTCCAGTGTCTTCATATCAGGTATGTTCACACTCAGAAGGGCGTGTGGTGCTTTCCCCTACCGCATGTTTGTTTTTTATTTATGTATTTACCACGAACTCAAAGCAGTCCTCCTGCCTTAGCCTACTGAGTGCTGGGGTTACAGGCGTGTACCACCACACCTGGTTTAGCATAATTTTCTTTTACTTCTCTGTAGATGTACTGAATTAGCAACCCTGAGGGTAAGGCTTTTAAGAAGCCCTCCAAATGATTCTACCACAGCTAGTGTTAAGCTCTAATTCTGTTAACAGTTGCATTGAATTCCATGCCAGAATTCTTCAGCTGTATCCCACTGAAGGCTGTTCACTTAGATTTTGTTTTTTTTTGCTACAAATAGTGTGAATGCTTTCACTTCTGGAAGCTAGAGTCTCAAGAGTAGGTTTCCTGGGTTGAGTAGTATATAGAGATTCAGGTTTACAGATATTGCCAGATTGCTTTCTGCAGAAGTTGTATTGGTTTACATTTCCCCCAGTGGTATGTGAATGCCTTTTCCCTCTAGCCTTTGATGTCTTTGCTTTTCAAAAATTTTCCTGTCTTAATGACTGTGAAGCACACTGTGTATTTCTCTGAATATGGGTGAAATTTTTGCTTGTCATATTTTGATTACCCTTGTCTGATTGCTGTTTGTGTGCTGTGTTCATTTTGCTACTTGATTATCTGTCCTTTTCCCATCAACTTGTACAAATTCTTCATGTAAGTATCAATCGTCTGAAGAACAGCTAATTAAATTGTTTTTTTCCCCAGACTTATCGTTTGTGGACTTTGTGGTCCTACGACTTCAGTGTTAGGATCACTTGGATGGTTTGGTAACACTAGGTTGTGTGTGGGGAGCACAGTTCCGTGGGTCAGCACTCACCTGCAGGTGAGAGCCCTGGGTTCAGTCTCCCAAGGACCCACCTGAACCCAGCTTGCTGGGTACTGCGCCCAGAGCTTCGCATTCAGCAAGTCCAGGGTGGAAGGCAAGCATGCTTTGCTTGTTTGCCCATCGCTTGCTCACTCTTTCTTTCTTTCTCTTCCTTCCTTTCTTCCTTCCATCTTTCCTTCCTTCTTCTCTTTCTCCTTCCCCCATTTCTTTCTTCTTTTTACACTTAAGTGTGATATCATCAGGAATTTATTTTTGTATATGGCATAAGATAAAAGTCCTGTTATAGCCTGGGGATTTAGCTCAGTGGCATAAGTGCCTGCCTAGCAAATGTGAAGTCCTGAGTTTGATCCCAGTACCAAAAAGAAAGAAAGAAAGAAAGAAAGTATTTTAAAAATCCTGTTATATTTTCTTTTTTTGGAGGCAGGGTTTCACTGTGTAGTGCAGGCTGGCCTTGAACTCACTTATATAGCCCAGGCTGGCCTCAAACTCACAGTGAGCTGGGATTATAGGCGTGTGCCACCATGCCAAGCTTCTTTATTATGATTTCTGCCAGAATGTTAATGAGTTAGTCTAGCATCTTTTTTTTTTTTTTTTTTTTTGGTCTTTTTGAGGCAAGGTTTCATTATTCAGTTCAGACTGGCCTCAAACTCACAGCATTCCTCCTGCCTCAGCCTCCTGAATGCTGGGATTACAGGCAGCATGTTAGTACATTGTACCATATTAGTACATTGTACTAACAACTTTTAATTAGGAGGGCAATTCAAAAGCTGTAAAAGAAAAAGACATTTAACTACATATAAGGAGAAAAGAAAGGAGGGAAGAGTTAAAAAAAAAAAAAAAAAGTGAGGGGCTGGGGATTTAGCTCAGTGGCACAAATAAGCACCTGCCTGGCAAGTACGAGGTTGTGAGTTTGATCCCTACCAAAAAAAAAAAAAAAAAAGGAAAACTTGGAAACAACATGTGATACATATGATAATCTTTGTCATGGGGATTTGTACCTGTACATGACATATCTTCTTTTTTCCCATTCCCCTTTCCTCTCTTCAATCCTTCTTTCCCTCCTTATTTATAGGAACATTGTTTCCATTTTTTCTTGTTTTATTTTTTTCTTGTTCCTTCTTTTCTCTCCAACCCCTTGTTCCCTTTCTCATTTGAACATTTTCTTTCTGTTTCCCAGTTTCCTAGTTGCTATTATACATTTTTCCCCATATTTACACTTTTGGATTCTTATACCAGAGAAACAATGCAGTATTTACATGTGTCTGCTTTCTTTCACTTCAGTGTATGGTCTCAAGGTGCATCCATTTAGCAAGAAATGTCTCATTTATCCTTCTTTATAGCTGGGTAGTACTCTATTAAAAACCACATCTTTTTTATCCATTCCTCAGTGCTATTCCTTGTAGCTATTACAAACTGTGCTGCTATAAACATAGGTGTGCCTATATTACTGAGGTGTGATACTTTTAATTCTTTTGAGAAGATACCAAGAAAGGGAATAGCTGTGTCAAATAGAACCTCTAGTCTTAGTTTTTTGAGGACTCTCCACACTGATTTCCACAGTGGTCGCACCAGTCTACACTCCTGCCAACAAAGGAAAAGGGTCCCTTTTCCCCTACAGCCACACCGGCACTTGTTATTAGTTGATTTCTTGATAATAGTCATTCTTTATGGGGTGATATGGAATGTCCTTGTTTTAATTTGCATCTCCCAAATGACCAATGATGTTGAAGCTTTTTTCATATATTTTTTTGCCATTTCTACTTTTCATATGAGGAGTATCTATTCATTTCAGATGCCCATTTTTGGACTGAGTCTTTAAATTTGAGAGGTGTGATCTTTTGGAGTTTTTTAAATATATTCTAAATAGTAGTCCTTTGTCTGAGGAAAAACTGGTAAATTTTTTTCTTATACCGTGGGTGTTTCTTCACTCTGTTGGAGTTTCTTTTGCTACATAAAAGCTTTTTAATAAGATGATATCCAAATTGTTGATTCTTAAGATAGTTCCATTGTGATTGGGCTTTTGTTCATAAAGTCTTCAGTTACACCAGTGTCTTCAAGGGATCTACCTGTTCTGTCTTCCAGCAGATTTATTGTTTCATCTTAATATTTAGATCTTTGGCTGGGTGTAGTGATGTATGTCTGTAGTCCCAGTACGCGGGAGGCTAAGGCAGGAGGATTGCCACAAATTTGAGACCAGCCTGAGCTACATAGTGAGTTCAAGGCCAGCCTGAACTGCATAGCAAAAACTCTGTCCCAAAAAGACCAAAAAAAAATTTTTTTTTAGAACTTTAATAAATTTCAATTTTAGTTTAGTGCGTGGTGAGAGATCTGGGTCTAGGTTTAATCTTCAGCATGTGGAAAGCCAGTTTTCCCAGCACCATTCATTAATGAGGCTTTCTTCCAGTGGATTTGTTTGGTTCCTTTGTCAAACATAAGGTGGCTGAGTGTGTTTGAAATTTTCTGCATCTTCTATTCTGTTCCACTGACCCTCGGGTCTGTTTTTTTGCCCAGGCAATTTCTTTCTTTCTTTTTTTTTTTAATCAGTACCAGGGATCGAACTCATGACCACGCGCTTGCAAGGCAGGTGCTTGTGCTGCTGAGCTAAATCCCCAGCCCTTCCCAGGCAATTTCTGTCTCAATAGATTTGCCTGTTTTGGATACTTTATACACATGAACTCTACTCTTTTTTTTTTTTTTTTTAACTTTTTATCGGTACCAGGGATCGAACTCATGACCGCCTGCTTGCAAGGCAGGTGCTTATGCCGCTGAGCTAAATCTCCAGCCCCTACAAATAAACTCTAAAATATATGGTCTTTGTGTTTGGCTTTTTTTACTGAGCATATTTTCAGTTCATTCACATTATAGTGTACACTGGTATTTCATTCTTTTCTGTGGCTGCCTCTACCTATTGGCCTATTGTAAGTAATATTGTTTTGAACATGCAAGTTTTTATGTGGATATGTGCTTTCATTTCACCCAGGTGTATAGCTGTGAATAATTAAACCCTGTGTTCAACTTCTTGAGGAACTGGTAATGTGTTTCCAAAGTGATCGTACTGTTTGACATTCCCACCAGTCTGTGGGATGTGTGTTGTTCTGGTTCTTTATTATTTTTTTTGTTTTAATTTTTTTGGAGACAAGATCTCACCATGGAGTTCAGGCTGGCCTTGAACTCACTATATAGCTCAGGCTGGCCTCAAACTTGTGGCAATCCGCCTGCCTTACCCTCCTGAGTGTTCTGGCTCTTTAATGACAGCCATCCTGGGTATGTATTGTGTCCTATTTTGGTTTTGATCTGCATTGGAGCCTCTTTTGTGTACTTTTGACCATTTATATATTGTCTGACATAAATCCAATCCAAGACCTTTGCCCATTTTAAAAAATTGGATTTAAGACTGGGTAAATTATTGAGTTACATGAGTTAGTAATATTTTTAAAACAATTTATTCCTTTTTTTTTTTTTTGAGACAGTGTCTCACTATGCAGTTCAGTCTGAACTTGAGCTCACTATGTAGCCCAGGCTGGCCTCAAACTCCCAGAAATCCTCCTGCCTCAGCCTCCCCAGTGCTGGGATTACAGGTGTGTGCCACTGTGCCTGGCAGCAATTTATTCTTAATGATTTTATATTCTGAGAGGGGAAATTTCAACTTTCGGGGAGCCTTGCTGACTACAATTGGATCACCGAGCCAAACAGTAGTTTCTAGTTATTTAACACTTTTGTTTGTTTTTGCTCACATCAGAGAGTGACTCAGGCATCTCCTCTGCAAGTACCTAACCCATCCTGGATGCACCACCAGTCATACCTCATGCCACCTTCCGTGAGTTATCAGACATGGGCAGAGCAAGAGGCAGTTGGATGGAAGGAAAACAGAGGGCGTGGATGGTGGGAGGTGTGGGTGTGAGTTCTGGCTTGGGCCCATAGCGCAGCTATGAGACCTCATGTTTTTCTTTGAGTGGGTCCCTCCATATTGAAGGGCAGCGAGCTGTGAGTTGGCTAGCTGTTCACCAGGGATTTTCAGTCCTAGGATTTTGGGATGTCTGTTTTCTGTGTCCGTAGTAGCCACCTGTCACTGCTTTAGGATGCTGCCAATAACACTTCCCCTTGTTGTTGCCTTAAGGGCTCCGTTCTGACACCAGGGATGGATCACCCCATTTCTCTCCAACCAGCCTCCATGATGGGACCCCTGACCCAGCAACTAGGCCACCTCTCACTCAGCAGCACGGGCACGGTAAAGTAGGGTGTTTCTGACTATAGAAGTCACAGAGTGAGGAGCACAGAGGTCCTTAGCAGAACTGCAGTGAATGCCAGGGTGACCATGTCACGTCAGAATTAGAAGAGACAAACTGCAAAGATAACCCACAAGCCAGAAACAGCTAATCTGCTTCCCAGCCTACCCTAGAGCTGCTTCCTACTCACAAAACTAAGTGAATAGCATTTCTGTGTGTGAATTTTAAAAATTATTATAAAACTTGTATCCGTACATGTTTGCAATACATGATTACTCACTGTATTAATTTAAGAATTAATACTCATTCCCTTATCAAAATAGTAATAGGAAGAAAACTTTAGGTTTCTTTCAGGCCTACCCAGTTTGGATTTGTAAGAACACTTAAAGACAAGGAAGGCAGGGTGTTGAGGAAAAATAGAAGGCCAGCAGGAAAGGCCAGGGGTGTAGTGCATGCCTGTGATCCCCACACCCAGGAGGCTGAGGCAAGAGGATTGCTGAGAGTTTAAGGTCAATCTGGGATACATAATGAGTTCAAAGCCAACCTGAACTACATAGCAAGACCCTGGCTCAAAAAAAAAAAAAAAAAAAAAAGGAAGTAAGTCACCCAGGTAGCATAGGCAGAAGCATTTCTAAGGCAGTATACTTTGGAATGCATTTTTTTTTTTTTGCTTGAGATACAATCTTACTGTGTATTTCCGGCTACTCTTGAACTCAAGCCTGTCCTTCTGCCTCAGCCTCCTGAGTGCTAGCACTTCAGACATGCACTGCACTGGAAGTTCTCAGAGTGCTTTTAAAAGTCTAATGCCCAGATCAATTAAAGTAGGCCCTCTAGAGGCAGAACACAGGCATCAGAATATGTAAAAGCTGCCCAGGTGTTTCACAGGTGCCAAGAACCATAACTCTAAGCCTGTCGATGTTTCCACCCTAGTATATGCCGACACCTGCAGCTATGCATGGAGCTTACATCTCCCAGTATGCACCTCTGCCTTCTTCCAGTGTTTCTGTTGAGGTAAGAGCATTGTAACTTTGCAGAAGCAAATCTTCCCCTGTTCATGATCTTCCCCACAGTGATGCTGATTCTGTGTTCACAAATAGCTGTAGGTATATGAGGAATGCAGGAAGGAAAGATTTACTCTGTCCTTGAGAATGAGGCCCTTTGTACATCTGGCCACCAGCAGCAAATATCAGGATGCTGCCTTCTGTTGATTAGTGTGCCTTAGGAAGAGGTCAGGCTGCTGTAAATCTTGAAGGACTGCTCCTGGATGTGGTAGCTCAAGGCTGTAATCCTTGCACTCAGGAGGCTGATGCAGGAGGCTCCAGGAGTTCAAGGCCAGCCTAAACTATACAGTGAGACCTTGTCTTAAAGAACCCAAATCCCAAAACATTGAGGGACTGCTAAAGTGTTTTCCAGAGTGGCTGCAGCATTTTACATCCTTCCAGTGGTTGGTGCTGGGTGTGTGTCCATGACGTAGGGCATGGGGGGCCAGCAAGACCCCTCAGCTTTGGGGGTTTTAGTGAGGCTGCTTCAGTGGGAGGCAAGGAAGGGAGAGCAGAAGCTGACTGTCCTCCTTGGCTGTGGTGCAGGAGAACAGCGGTCCGCAGAATCAGGTGGCAGTGGAGACGCCCTCAGAGCCTGGAGTCTATTCTTTCCAGTTCAGCAAGTAACAGCGGTAAGGGTGAGGGCCACAGCTCAGCCCTGCCTGGAGCCAGGCAGGCTCTCGTGTTCGCCACCCCTCCCACCCTCTCCGGCTTGGGCCTGCTCTAGGATTTCCTCGCTGTCCATGTTGGGTAGAAAGGAAGTTTTGGAGATGCCTGCAGATCCAGGCAGCTCAGCCCAGTGACAGATGCCCGCGAGCCCACTGAGCGCTGACCCTGGGGAGGAGGTGCTGCAAGCCTGCTCTGCGTTGCTTCTGAACCGTCACTGATGCAGCCTGGGGAAATCGTCACTTTTTGTATGTGTTACATTCAAGGAGATGAAACATTTTTTTCTTTGTTTTGCTTTGTTTTAAATTGTAGTATACTTTCCCCTTGCCTCAGACGCGGTGGCCAGGTGCCCTGCCGCCTGGGGCTGCTCTGTGAGCTACGTCCTGGTTATTTGGGAAAACCTTAATACGCTTCGTTAAGACTTCTTTAAAAGGAAAAGAGAAAAATGTGGTGCTAGACCATTGGTGACGCTGACCCCTACTTGCTGAATTTAGTTCTGGAGTTTTTAAAATATGTATGTATATGTTTCAGAAAACAAGCAGATTTTTAAGATTTTGTTTTTTGTAAAGCTCTCAGTTCACACATTGCATCTCCTCTTCACACGTTTGTCTTTTTTTCTCTCAAGATTGTTCTTTTTCTCTTTTCTATACAGCTGAGCCTGCCTGCTTACTTTTTCACAGTTTTTATTTTTGTGAATTTTTTTGAATGAAATTTCATTTGGAATTTGGGGGTAGTGCTGGGCAAGGAGCAAGGCCAAACACTGAGCAGCAACAGAAGTGGCTTTTCCTCTGCGCTGAGGATAGCTGCGGGAAGCAGAGCCGCTGCAAGGTCCATTTCAGAGAGGACTCCACAGCCTTCGGAAGTCACCTTTGAATCAAATGTGGCTGAAGACTAAGTGTTTTTCAATAAGTTGCAGTTGGATTTACTGACCTCTTGCTCTTACTGCTGTGAGGCCAGCGTCCTCTGTGGAAGTTGCGGCCTTTGGGTCCCTGCTTTGCAGTCTCCACTTACCCTGTGGCGATGGCCCTTCTCCCCCTGCTATTTGGGCTCCACTTGGCACAGGGCCTGTGCCGCTGTGGCCTGGCCAAGTTCACTCAGGCTCTGTCCAGACTACAAGACTATGGACCAGTGGTTCTTGGCCAGTGGTGGTTTTGTTCCCCAGGGCCTGGGGTTGATAGCTGGTGACATTTCTGATGGCCATGCCTCGGGGTGGTGTGTATGTGTTATAGGCATCAGCATCTATTTGCTAGACCTAGCACACCGATGACACCCCTCAGTGCACAAGACACCCTGTATCCCATCAAGAATTCTGGCCTAACATGTCAGCAGTGCCAAGGTGGAAAAGCTGTGATGCAGACAGCTTTCTGGGATGGGGTCAGTTCCCATCCCGGCCCTGGACACAGCACCTTTTGACACTCAGTGCAACTGGTTGGGTGGGTAGGGATCCCGGGATCCTAGAATTTTCCCAGACTTTGACCTTTGATGCTGTCCTGGTGGAGCTGGATGCTCTTGTTAATGTAGCAGGTACACACACATTTCTCTGTGGCTGAGACGGGAATTGTTTGTGTGCTGCACAGGATAGGAAAGGACAGAGTTCTCTAATGGCAGAGTGACTGTCCTGCCCTGGCATATTTGGACCCCTTCCCTGGTGAAACAGGACCTCAGAAATCATTTTCTTTAGCTGGCTGTGTTGGTGTATGCCTATAATCCCAGCATTTGGGAGGCTGAGGCAAGAAGATTGCAAATGCATGGCCAGCCTGGGCTACATGGTAAGATCTATCTTGTCCCAAAGAAAACCAAAGAGAGAATTTTCCTTTTTCTGAAGGACAGCAGTGAGCTATGATAAAAAAGCATTGTATATCCCATCTCACAGTGTACAAGGCCAGAGACTTTTAGACGCCCTCTGTCTCATTCCATAGCTGTCCTCTCTAAGATCTGACTGCACTGGAGACAGGATGAAGAAAACTTGTGACCACCTACTAGAACAGGAGATGATCCTGCTGCTGTCTCCTCTCAACAAAGAATCTGCTCCCTTGGAGCTAGGTTCATCTCCCCAGAAACTGCCACAGCGGGATAAGCTGGTGGCCGAGGGGAACAGCAGAGCTGAGGCCAGCTTGGGGGAAGTAGAGGGCAGAGGGGAGGGCGGCTGTGGCACACAGATTTTCCTCCCACCCCCGAGTTTAGAGTCCCTGTCCTCCTCCTTTTCCTGTTTGTCCTTTTATATACATCCTTGGGATAAAGGAGTGGGATTGAGGCAATGAATAGGACTGAAAAACTAAGAAACAAAATTGCCCATTTTTCTATTGGTGCTTCCAACTTCAGGAAAAGCTTGTCCAGGATAAAAGCCCCACTCTCAGTACCCCTCTGGGGTTTGGCTAGACAAATAGTGCTTGTTTTGGAGTTTCTTAACCGTCAGTGAAGGGCAGTATACCACAGCTACTTTCTTGTCAATAGCCTTTGTTTGTAACAGGGTCTTATTCTGTAGCCCAGGCTGGCTTCAAATTTAAGATGATCCTCCTGCCTCAGCCTCTGAATGCTGTGATAACAGTGTACACCATCACTCTCAGCTGTCAGTGGCCTTAAAGAGAGAAAACCCAGAGTTGTATTCATTCAACTAGGGGATGGGGTGCTGCCGCTAGGTCTCATTGGGACACCTTTCCTGATGGAAATCATTGTCACTGCTGCCCTTCCTCTGCCTCCCAGAACTTTTTTTTTAAAATCTAAAAAAGGTTCTAATTTTTTTTTCTGGTTGTTTTAAACTTCGAAGTTACCTTTTGAGAGTCTTATCTGACTCTACTTGTTAGATTCTATTAATGATTATTCTGACCTGGGCAGGTTCAGATGTGGGAAGTAATCAGGAGCCTGCAGTTATTTTTGAATGGTTAGTGGCCCAGAGGAGTCACTTTTAGGTGCTTTCTGGTGGAAGAACAGTCCTGCTTTCCCGTTAGTCCCTTTCTCTTAGTGGGGAGTGACTGGGAAGAGAAGGACATGCTAAGGCATCGCTCCCTGTGTGAAACGGTGGTGTGGGCAGCACTTCTGAGTCCTGCCTCTGCTCTCACCCCAATCATTACAGAAGCTTCCCTGTCACTGTGTGAGGTACTGAGGACTAAGCCCAGGGCCTCTGCTGCATCCCTAGCCTCTTTTCATTTTGAGTTAGGTTCTTACTAAGTCACTAAGTTGCCCAGTCTTGGCTCTAACTTGTGATCCTCCTTCCTGTTTCCCAAGTGCTGGTATCACAAGTGGGTGCCATTGAGCCTGGCTGAAACTTGTAACAGTCTTATTATAGCTTTCAAATACCGTAGAGCACAGCAGAGTCCCTTCCTCAGCTGCCAAGCACTTTTCTAGGCACAGAGCCTGCGAGCCCCGTCTCATGCTAGTGTTGACTGCAGGGACAGAAGAATGATGCAGGTAGAGGTTGAGATTTGGGAAGAATGATGGGAAGGGATTTTTTTTTTTTTTTTTTTTTTTTTGCGGGGGTGGTATTTTGAGACAGGATCTCACCATGCAGTTCAGGCTGGCTTTGGGCGCACTTTGTAGCCCAGGCTGGTCTTGAACTTGCAATACTTCTGCCTCAGCCTCCTGAGTACTGGGATGATAGCAGTACACCACCACGTCTGGCTGGGAAGGGGTTTTTAAAAAAAGGCTTTTCAACCAAAGAATTTGAAGAGCTGCCCAGCCTGAGGATCTGGCTCTGAAGAGAGAATAAACTTGTCATAGCTGGGGTGGCAGGACAGTTCATGTGCTGAGATCAGACAGATTTTGCTGCTCCACAGGCTCTCTGGTCAGCACTGTAGCCTGCTCCATCCTGTCCCTTTCTGACTTGCTCACTAGTGAGTCTGTCACCCCATGCCTGTCTCAGGGGTCACTTTGTGCTCCTGTGCAGACATTGCTGTCACTGTCCACAGCCCTGGCAGGGATCCCCCAGTGCTTCTGAGTCTTAGAAAAGGACCCACTGCTGTTCTTACAGATACCCCTCCTTCTGGGAAAGTGGCAGCACCACACTCCCGGGGGCTGTTTTGCCTTAACTAGGAGCAGTCCACGCAGATGGGTAGTCTAGCCCACACTTGCTCCAGTCTCTTCCAGTCCTCCTGGGTCAGTGGCATCCACTGATGCCCAAAAGGAGGATGGGTGATAAAAAGCCAGTCTGCAGAGGTGGAGCTTAAATCTTGTGCCTTGTTACGCTGGTTTTACACCAATTATTCCATTTCTATGCAACACACTTTTTGGTTCAAGCATTAGACTCCTGAAGGTCAGTGGGGTTTTCTGCTGCCTTTTATATAGCCTTCCCTCAGCAGCAAAGAACAACTGTCTTTATGAGACTCCTGAAGGGGTGAGAAGTTTATCACCACTCCCACTGCTTTTTCCTGGCCTGTCCGCTTGGCTTGAAGAGGCCTTCACTGTCCAAACAGAACTCCAAGCTCCTTTGTCCTTGTTATTTTATCTACCTCACAGTTCTACAACAAGGGCACAAGTGCCTGACTTTACTGGCTTTCTCTTCGTTAGTAAGCTAGAAAGGCCTCATGAACAAATGCAAACTCTGGATATTTCTACTTCTGCAACGTCTTGTCTAAGATTTTGGCTCACTAAGCACCCTAGAATAGTGTAAGTTTCATTGATAGGTCCTAAAAGGGCAGGATGCAGTGACCAAGGAGTCACTGCATGGCTGGGAGTCTCCCTACCACAAGAGAACGGCTCAGTGGCCACCACATGGCTGAAAGGGTAACCAGATACCAAAGTTTGTGACATTTACAGGGCTAGAAGATGTTCCCTTGTCCACCCTAAGGTCCAGGTAGTTTATGGTGTTCAGGAGACGAAGATCCAAAGCTGGAGGGTGGTAACTTTCCCAGCCTGAGTAAATTGAAGTCTCTGCCCCATTCCTGCAGTTCTGAATCCCCAAGATGGCTGGGTGGGTGGCTTTTGGGCAGGAACTCTGTTGCATGCACTTATCACCTTGGAGAGGAAGTAAGTTTAATTTATACTTAAAACAATTTTGTACATTTTTTTCCCTCTTTATCCAGAGATGTCTAGTTTTATACTCTTCTGTGTTTATGCCAATGCTACCCTTCTAGCTTACTCCTTTTCTGACCCCTGGTCTTCCCACGTTTTTCCCTGTAACTTGGTAGTTTCATTTTGTTAATTTTTTTTCTTAAATAAAACACAAAAGGCTGTCTTGGTGTCTTATCCACAAGTGGGGAGGAAAAGCTGGTGACGGGCTATCTGCTGCTACAGGAACACAGGTGGCAGCTCAGAAAGCTAAAGCACATCTCACAAAAAGGCTGGAACCAATCTCAGTTTACCCAGCACCTCAGACTTTTAAGGCAGAACTATACCTGTTCCATCCACACAAACAACGTGTGAGACAGGAACCCATGCTTAAGTGGGGCCAATGTGGGAGGTTTAAGGGTAAACCTGTTTTGAAATGGGGGTCTCACAGTGTAGTCTAGGCTGTCCTGGAACTCTGTTTGTAGCCTAGACTAGCCTTATTTCTGGAGATCCTCTTGCCTCAGTCTCCTACATATTGGGATCCCTGCCAATATGTGGCAGGGATAAATGTATTTCTTTTGCTAAACCCAACACCCAGGCTCCCCACTTAAAAGGTATGTGTGAGACTATGCTCAAGGGATGAGAAATACACAGAGTCTTGAATCTCTATCAAATGTGGTTTTTATTCAACTGACAAGCACTTTTCTACAGCTGCATCACATGTGGAACATCACATGGCAAAAACAGGAGGCTTTTTTCTCTAGACTTTTCTTTTTTTTAACCTTATTAAAAATGAGATTGGTCCTAAAAATATAGAAAGAAATAAATTTAAATTCACAAAAAACTGTACATTATCAAAAAGTCACTAAAACACCACATTTGGTTATATAAAAAGTCAGTCCCTTCTGAAGTAAAAGGAACATGGAAACTTGGTGTCAATGATGTGGTTTTCTTGCTGTTACCAGACTGATAGGGGAAGGGCAACTAAGGGGTGGGGGGCTGTCTTACTTTTTACTGCCTTCTCTACAAATACTCTCATCAACAGAGAAATCCACCTAGCTTAAGGGGCAGTGAAGATGGGGAAAGGAAAGTGAGAAATGGCCCCCCTGCTTGTGCTGTCCCCACCCCTCTACAGTCTCTAACCCCCTTGCAGAATGCCTGGTCCCTATGGAGGGAGCCGGAGAGGAACACACAGCAGACAACTGAGACCTCACCCCATGCACCCCACCTCCAACAATGAAAAGTAATCGACATTTTATGCCAGAGGAAAACTGTCATGGGGAGAAAGATGGGCGCCCAACTAGAACAGTTCCAAATGTCTAACACAAAGTTTGTTACAGCGCAGTTATTTAGATAAAATATAAATATTTATGCATAATATAAAGTCAATTATTCTTCAATCCACCTCTTATTTAAAAGCAAAAAAAAAAAATCTCAAAATTAAAAGTTCTGAGGTTTATCTGACAGAAAAGGCGACTTTAGAAATAGGCTCTGGGAGAGAAGGGACGTACAGGACTAAGGAGGTGCCCAAGACCTACACTGCAGCCCCCCCCCCCTTCAGTGCTGCCAGAAGTACTGGAATGATCGCTCTGCTGCCCGGCAGGCACCCTTCTGTGGTGCTGCATCAGTGGACACTTCTGATGCCTCAGCTCTGCTCGGGCAGCTAGCAGCCACCTCCCCAGTGCAAGTACCCGTAATCTCTGGTGGGAGGGGCTCGCTGAGCAGGAGCAGGGGGCTGGGGCCATGGCTATGGTCTGAGTGAGCAGTTTTCTCATAGACTGGGAGCTCACTTGGGCAGTCACAGGTAGGTTGGTGGACCCAGAAGCCCTCTCCCTTCCCTCTCCTGTGCTCAGGAGTCTCTGCTGCTGGGAAAGGATCCCAGGGTATGAGTAGATAAAAGGAAGGAAAAGTACAACTAAACACATAGATGCTGATGGGATTAGGAAAGATCCAGTTCTACCCCTCTCCCTGCAAAAATGTGAGACTCAAAGCTCCTGAGGGGGAGTGCGCCTACTGAAAGATTGCACAGTTCGAAGAGGCTGGAACAGAAATGACCCAGAGAAATTGTTCCTGTGGTTTCCCAAAGACATAGAAGTGATGGTATGAAACAAGGGAACAGTAGGATTAAAAACATACTTGGGGAAAACAAATGAAATGGATCTCATCAAAATAGGGTCAGTCAAGGCATGTGTGCATGCACACCACACCCACCACTCTTCCACTCTGAGGCCAGTCAAGTGCTACCCGGCCTTTATCTCAGAGGTGCACCCAAACTCAGCAGTAGTTGTCCCTGAGGAGTTCCCAAGAGGGAAGTTTGGGAAAGCAGGTGAGGAAGGAGGCTGGAAGGCCCTGGGTACCGGCCACCCTCTCCCCAGTCACTGAGTTTGAGGAAAGGATGGAAACTCAGCATGTGAGGAGCATCCAACATTTTACATGGAACAGCTATCAGCAGGAAGATGAGGACAGAGAGAAAAACAGGGACTTCTAAATTTTTTTCCTTTGAAGGGGAAAAAGATTTGGGGAAAAGGAGGGAGAAACCCGTACACAAGAGTTTTACATTATTGGATGAGAAAATCTGAAAAAACTGGGAAATGGCGGGGGAGGGGAAGCCGGGAGGAAGCAAGACAGGATGGGTCTGCACGTGGAAGCAGCATGTCCAGGGCCCGTGTCGGCGACACGCCTGGGGTTAAGTTCACTTTACTGGCCGTCACTGCGGGTCCGCACACAGTACAGAGTGTTTCTCGGTTTCACACATTCACTAGAACTATTGCTATTGTTAAATCACCCCAGAATGCTGGGGCATGGACAGGGAGGGAGAGGAAGTGGGGAGGAGGAAGTAGGGACTTCTTTCCCCCTCCACATTTTTAATTAGGAAATAAAACAGGAAAAATTATTTTGTCTTTCTTTTTTGGCTTTTCAGTCCAGAAGGACCTCATCTCCACACCTCTTATTTGAGGAGCAGGAGGAGGAAGGGAGAAAGGGGACTAGGGGTAAGAGGACGTGGGTGCTGCCAAGGGCAGGATCAAAAATCAGCTATCTGACTTGAGCCTGGCCCCAGGGCACCATCAGCAGGTGTGAATGGCAGGTTGTGGAAGGTACGAGAGAGGCCACAGATGACTCCCCACCTCCCTTGCCTCAGAGATTGGCCTGTTTTCCCTGATAAAACTCCTCCCAGCGGCTCTCGAAGAACTGGCGCATAATGTGTCCTGCCTTGCCCACTTCAGAGTCATCCTCGTTGAAGGTCTGGCAGTTGTCAAAAACCAAAAGGGCATCAGCAGCAAACTCCTCTGAGCTGGTGTACCTGGAAGGAGCGAAGGCAGAGCTGTAAACTGGGAAGAGCTGTGGAGCCACAGAGAGGAGCTAGGGAGTCACCAACATCACTCACCCTCCTCGGAGCAGCCGCTCCCGCATGGTGGAAAAATCCATTGGGTTCTTGATGATGCGCCGGTAGCCACTCACCAGTCGTGGATTCACAGGTTCCAGGAAAGGCCAGGCTGCGTCATGAGACTCCATCTCCATCAAGATAATCCTACCAGCACAAGGACAGCAATGGCTCCCTTTCTGGCTGCATGCACTGCCCCACCTAGTCCTCTTTCTGGCAGATGGCACTAACTCACTCGCAGAACGTGAGATCGCTGTGGTGGTTCCGCATGGAGAGTCGACGTCGCTTGGAGGGAGACAGCCCTTCTTCTGAGTATCGGGGTATTGATGATGGGCTCTCTCGGCCCCTTGACAGTACCCGGCGGCGCCGGCCCTCAGCTTCTGGGAAGTTCAGTGAGTAACCACTTTTCCGTTTCTGCCCTCGCTTTGGGAAACCAGGTTTCTGAGGGAACTCTTCCTCCACCTGCTGAGGGTAAGAAAAGGTGGAGATAAGCATCATCAGTTCCCCAGTACCCACAAGGGCTGCCTTCTAATTTGTTAGAATCCCTAACTATAACCGAGGCTTCAAAATACCTTCCTATATAAGCTGGCATCTGAATTTATTCAGATAACAAGTCGGGGTGAAAGGAAAGGGATAATTACCCATTTTATAGAGGCAACTGAGGCTATAAAATTTAAGTGATTTTTTCCAAATAAGAACCAGAATCCAGGTCTCCTAATATCCCGTGAACTCATTCCAAGCTGAGTTTGGGAGCAGAATAACATTTGTAGGATTGATGGTAAGTGGGATGCAATGAGAGTGGAGATCTTACTTACTTGGGCCAAACAGACAGCACAGAACCAGTCCCCTTCTGGGACAGCCTCCATCTTGGGCCGATGGCAGTAAATGTGGCAGCCGCGGTCACACCCATCACAAAGCAGAAGAAACTCATCATTGTCACCCTTCCGGCAGACTAGACAGGTCTGGTTGTGAGGAGACACGGGAAGCCTTTAAGCCTCTGCCTATCTGTCACCCCACCCACATGGGAGGGCTGGCTCCTTGGCCCTTTCAGGCCCTCTGTGTCTCTTACCACTTTGTTGACAGACTTTTCCCAGGCAATGGACCGTTCCAGCTGGCCCATGCATAAGCACACCTGGGCTGCACTCCGGCACCGCTCAAGTGTCTGGCGCCAAACCCGAACCCGAGGGGTGATTTCGTATGAGCTGTAGGAAGAAAGCAGTGATGTGTGGATAAGGCGCAGGATCAAATGAAGAGCGGGGAGCTTAGCCTTGCTCTCTGATACCAAGAACTAGTGGGAATCACTCACATCTCTGTCGTGGTGCCCTCAGGGGCCCCATTGGGTGTGCTGAGCAGTGCCTTTTCTAGTACCACCTCATGAGCTGGCCAGAGAGGCTCCCGCAGGTACCGCCGCTCCACATTCTGTTCTAATGCAGCCAGTCGCATCACAGCCAGGTCCAGAGGGTTGGTACTTTTACGCTGAGGTGCCAGCCCTTCTCTGCTGCGACCTCTCCAGGTGATGTCCTCCTGGGAGTCAGCTAGATGCTCACAGTAGGCCAGGTCTTCACGAGTAGAGTCTGGACTAGGACATGTCCAGCCCTTCATGTGGGAAAGCAGAATAAAACTCATAAAGGAGAAAAAAAACCCATTTTTAGGTCACAAGAGGTTTTCTGAATGGTGTATGTGTGTTTGTGACAGGGTCTTGTTATGTAGTTCAGGTTGCCTTGAACTCATAGAGAGTCTTTTGCCTCAGCCTCCAGAGTACTAGGATTTCTGGTGTAAACCACCATGCCCCACTCCTTTTTTTTTTTTTTTTTTTTTTTTGGTGCCAGGGATCGAACTCACGACCTCACATTTTCCAAGGACGCACTTATGCTGCTGAGCTAAACCCCTGGTTCCAAATAGTTTTTAAGGAATTAATGACCTCTCCTAAACAACTCCCCACCCAGTGCCAATCCCAGTATACCCGAATCTGCAGGTCAGACAGGATAACCCGCTGTTCAAGATCCTCTACCCGCTGAAGCACAGCCAGGTCTGTTTCATATGTCTTCTCTTTGGGTGACCAGCTCATAACCCCTTCTTGAAAGGGAGGTAGCTGACTAGGCTCAAAGATGGGATCTGAGAAGTGAGAAGACAGAAGAGGCCCATGAGCTCACATTTGCCCTGGGCTCTGCAGTTTAGGCTAGGTGAAGGTATCTATTTACCAGTTGAGGGCCGTGAACAGACTTCTTGCAAGAAGTTCCTGTGCTTGTGAAGGTGTTTGTGAAGTGCCTTCTCCCGGATGCCTCGGGGGTGTAGGGCCTTGAGCATGACATCCAGCACCTCAGGATCTCGAATCCACCACCAGCCTGAACGCATCTCTGAAAACAAGGAACCCATACATGGGGTGAGGTTTGGGAACCAGCTATGAAACACAATGCCCACAATGCTTCCTTGTACTCTTACCCCATTGCACCCAGAATCACTCACCAGGGGGAACAGGCTGGGCTGTCAGCTGGGTTAAGTAACGCTGCTCCATCTGTCTGAATAACTTGCTGGGAGGTCTTCCTCTCCGTTTTGGCTGTCCCAGCCCTGTGGGACTCTGTAGCATTTCTCCAGAGTCTGCTGCTAGCCTCTTAGGAGTTACCCCAGTCAAGGGGGTGGACGAGAACTGTGCTGAAGAAGAAGGGTTGGCGGCACTAGGTCTATTCATCTGTGACTAAAAGGAGACATAAAAGGATGAGGGTATTTTCACACATATAGGTTTCCTTAGCAGTCCCATAGCCAACCCATGGAGCCTGTGCAAACATAAGGAACATATTCTTTCTGCAACTTACTGGCTTTGAGGCAGGCAGCTGAGGGGAAGGAGTGGGCTGATCCTCAGAAACTGCAGGGGGCGGTGTAGGGGCAGCATTACAGGGCACCTGGGCTGAGAAATTAAACCAGGATGCTGGAGGATCAAGGCCAGACTCTGCCTCATTAGGCTCCTCCATGGGCTGTGAGGGGGCTGGGTCTAACTTTCCTGGGCTGCTATCAGGTGTGAGGACTGAGCTACTCAGCAAAGAACCATGACTCTGAGTCTGGCTCAGCCAAGACAGGAAAGCTGACTGGCTGAGGTCATGCTGGCTCTGACTCAGAGACAAAGGAGAGCCTTCTAGCTCCAGGGATTCATGATGGGATTGGGGCTGGGGCTGGAGCTGGGGAGGAGCCTGAGGCTGAAGATGGGGCTGCGCCTTGGGCTGAAGCCGGTCCTGGGGTTGTTCTGAATCCTGGCCTTTGAGAGAAGAGTTCAGGTTTCTAGGTTGCATTGACCCAGGTTTAGTTTTTCGAGGTCGGCCTCGTGTCCGGGCAGAACTGGCAGAGGTGCTACAGCTACTTAATTCTCTCTTCACAGAGAAGAAGGCAGGAGTGGGTGCTGGATGGACTGTCACCCTTAAGGAATCACTCTCCTGCTTTGTATCTTCAGGAACTACAAAGAAAAGAATTTAAGACACATACTGATATACAACAGAAAAGAACATATAAATACATGATACATACTTTCTTTTTCTTTTGGACTTAGTCTTCTTTCTATGATGTTCCACCACTAGTAATAATTTATATATCAATGGACAAAATATCTGGGGAAAAAAATACTGTTTGTTCTAAGTGATCATCAGCAGCAGTGGCATAATTGTAAGCAGAAATCTACTGAGAACCAACTGTATTTTAAGCATTATTATTATTTTTTTCTGATGCTGGGGCTCAAACCCAGGAATTTTATTCTGTGTTCTACCACTGAACTATACTCCTCAAGGCCTGTTCTGTTAAGCACTAGTCCAATAAGGAGCATTAACTCTTCTTGATCCCCCTAACAGCTCCATAAAACACACATTCTATTACTAACTCCAGTTACAAATGAAGAAACAAGCATATAGTTGATAAGTGGCATAGCAAGCAGGTAGGGAGTCCTATTCTAGGGCCTGTGCTCCTAACCACTGTGCTCTACTGATGATTCTCATAAAACAAAAGAAGCCTAAGATCACTAACTAAGCAGAGACAAAGGAATCATTTATTAGATAGGGCTCAGAGGATTGAGGCTTTCACACACACACACACACACACACACACACACACACACACACACACACACACACCTACCTAGGCTCCCTTCTGCTCCTTCCACAAAGATACCAGCCAAATATGGCAATACCCAGTAGCGGCGTCTGTATCGGTCTTGCCCCAAGGAGACTGCTCGAAGCATCTGGGATGAATGAAGTAGCTTTTTGCGAAAGAACAGCTGACGCTGTATAGGCAGGTGGAAAAGGAAGACGACTAAAAAACACATTTCTAGAGGGAGAGTAGTGAATTCATCTAGTACATGGGAGAAGGCACAAGCTCTCAGAGCTCCCCTGTAAAACTGATACCCAGCTGAGGTGATTATTTCTTGCCCAGCCCACACTTCCAACTCTACCAACAATACCTTACTGAGTTTTTCTATCTGGCGCTCTAACTCCGGGATGCTAGATGCTATAACATCAACCTAGAGAAAAACAAGAACACGAGGAAAAAGGAAGTTACCAGGACCAAGACAGAGAAGTACCTATGTCCCTTTTCTTTTCTGTTCTAAGGATCGAACTCAGGGCCTTCTCACCGACTTCTAGCTCTACATGTTTTCTTTTCCCCTCTCCTGGGGACCTCATGCTTGCCAGGCAGACACTATGCTGCTGAGCTATATCCCCAGCACTTTTTTTTTTTTTTTTTTTGGTCTTTTTGAGACAGGGTCTCACTATGCAGTTAAGGCTGGCCTTGAGATCACTTTGTAGCCCAGGTTGGTATGGAATTTGCAACAATTTTCCTGCCTCAGCCTCCCAAATGCTGGGATTAACAGGCATGTGCCACCACACCCTGCTCTTTGTCTTTTTTTGAGACAGGGTATGGCTATGCAGTTCAGGTTGACTTTGAGATCACTTTGTAGCCCAGGCTGGTCTCAAGTTTGTAACAATCTTCCTGCCTCAACCTCTCGATGCTGGGATTACAGACATGTACCACTACACCTGGCTTCTCTACATGTTTTTATTATGTGATAGGGTCTCAGTAAACTGTGAAGGCTGGCTTAGGACATGTGATCTTCCTGCTTTGGGATCCCAGAATGCTGGGATTACAGGCGTGAGCCACCATTTCCAGCCAACAAATTTTTTATTGGAGACAAGATCTCACTATGTAGTTAGTTCAGGTTGGCCTTGAATTCTCTGTAGCCCAGGTTGTCCTCAAACTCATGGCACTCTTCCTGCCTAAGATTATAGGTGTGTGTCTGGTGTGTTTTGACTTTCACTTCTGTTGCTGTTGGGCCAGTACCTCTCCATCTCTTCGACCTCTTCGACCATGGACAGCTGCTAGAGTTTCCTCTTCTTCTTCCTCTTCCATGCCACTGGTTTCTTCCATTATCCGAGAACTACGCCTCCGTCCCAGGCCTTCCTCTAGTCCTTCCATCTCTATCTCAGGCCGCCCAGTTCGCTTAGCCAGAGCTGTTTTCAGTCTTGAACAGATAGTGGATTAAAGAAAACTGTGATGAGCATCCTACTGCCACAGCAGGAAAATCTGGAATCTCAACCATTATTAAGGTCCCCAACCTAGGGTAGGAACTAAGGGCAAAAGTTGTAAGCAAAAATGCTAGGCATGCTTCATCCTTCCCTACTTCACTCCTCTCTTAGTTTTGCTCTCCTGTCCCTACCTCCGGAGCCGGCCTTCAATAATCCACTTGTTTTTCCTGTAGCTGGACATACTCTCCAGAGTTTTGTCAATCTCACTGCAGGAGAATAAAGAATGGGATTTTGAGGAAGAAATAGCAGCACAAAAAAAAGGGAAGAAACTTTTAAAGACATATAGGGGGTAGGGAGCTTCAGCCTAGAACCTAGACAAGACGAATGTCAGAGGCAGGCTTAAATTCTCCTAAGAGCACCAAAATTCACTCTACCATCTCCAGAGCTTAGCAGTGGGCACATATCACCTTAGGACTTCTGAAAGGCAAAATTCCTCCCCAATCCCAGTATGACAAGGCATAAGACAACCATCCCCACCCTAGCCTCTCACTTGATGATAAGGGTAGACCCGTTCAGCTCGTGCACAAGGAAGGCCAGGATAGCAGCTTTCCGCTGGGGTGGCTGGGCCTGAAAAGGCTGAGTGTGTAGGCTGTCACATAGGGTGGGCTCTACTCCATATGCCATGAGGAAGCAGCGTAGGATCTCAGACACATTGTCTCTTGTCAGTGAGATCTCACATACCTTCTCTCCCAAGATCTTCAGAGACTGTTTAAAGGAAAGAGCATAATGAGAGTGAAGCAGCAAAGAGGAACAACTTGAATTCGATTAATCTGGGAAAAAACTACTGGGTTAAAACAGAAAATACAGAAGAAGGTTTTTAAAACAAAATAAGACTGCAAAAGAAAAGTACAAAAAAAGGATTAACACCAGGTGTGGTGACTGTAATTCCAGCACTTAGGAGGCTGAGGCAGGATTGTGGCAAATTCGAGGCCAGCTTGACCTATATATAGTCAGGCCCTATCTATCTAACAAAACAGAACAACAACAACAACAAAAGATTAAGACAAAGGAAAAGGAATATAACTCAGTGGCACCGCACCTGCCTGGCATGCATGAGGTGATGAGTTCGATTTTCGTACCCAAAGGGGCGGGGGGGGGGGTCGGGGGAAGCAAGGTGTCAGGAAGAAAAAGAAATGGAAAAATGTAAGGAAAACAGAAATGGAAACAAAAACATCTCCCCCACTTCTCATCATTTTATGAAGTCTCTAAGTGTTCTCAGAAAAGTAAAATGGAGACAAGGCACTACATTGCAAGCCTTCCTGACTTGCCCAGGAAAGCTCACCTGACAATAGGAGGGCAGTCCAGGATCATAGAGCGCAGCCTTTAGGAGCCGTACCAATAGATCTTGCACCTTGCCCAAGCTGTCACCTTGACACAGGAGTCCCTCCTGCAGGACTCCCAGGCTAGGCACATCTTTGTTAGGGTCAAAGCCCAGCACCTTGCCGAAGCTGTGCAGGAACTCCACAATGGTCAAGCAGTCTGAGAAAGTCCTACTGGGCAGTGTCAAACCAGGGATGCGTGTGAACTCAGGCAAGGGCTGGAGGGATGAAAGTGGTACAATGTTTTGTTAAGACTTAGCAGAAGGCAACCATAAGACTTTCCATGAGGTCCTCTCTATAGTAGAGATGTCCTTACAAATGGTCCCTCCAAAAGTGACCCCAGAATTGTTCTCTCCCCTCACTACCTGGTGGTCAGTTAGACACATATCCTCTGTGGGCTTCTTCATCTCCTCCAAGATCATCTGCTGCCTCTGCCGTTCCTCCAGGCGTTTCTGGGTAGTGAGGGTCTTATCTGATTTACAAGTTGGCTTGGCTTTGGCCACTTCATCCTTTTCCTTCATTTTTACCTTTTCCTTCTTCACTTTTTCCTTCACTTTTTCCTGCTTTGTCTTTATCTTTTCTTTCTCACCCTACCCATCAAAGAGAGAGGAAGCAGGAGCGACATAAAGATACCAGTCACCACCATTTCTTGGCCTCAGTCCCTCCCAGTGTCAGCCCAGAAATGAAACTGTAAGACATACACATCTTACAAAGAAGTTCGATCACTTCAAAATTATCCTCAGCAAGTGTGTACCTTAGTTGCACCTACCTTCAATTTCTTCTTGGTGTCCTTCTGTTTTAAGCTTTTGGTTTCTGGTTTCCTCTTGTTTTTGGCCTGTAAACCATAAGGGAAGTCATTTCTCCTCAAACTCTGAAAGCATCTCTGCTTGGGCTAGGATTAAAAAACAAACAAGGGTGCTGGGGAGGAGAGGTGGGAGACAGGATGAGGGATGGCAATGGATTCTTTCACCCTACAGATGCCCACATTATTAATGAATAAACCCAATTCTCTAAATCAAGCCCAAGAGACTTCAGGGCAATAAGTTTGTGGTACTATGCAGGGGATGAGAGATGTGGGAGATGGAAAAAAACATGAAGCAATTTGTAGGAGAAGAGCCCACTGATGTCCCTCACCTGCCCTTGGATAGGAGACTGACATTCTCCCCGCTGTACCTTCTGTCTCATCTTCTTGCTTTTACTCATCTTTGCTTTATCTTCCTCATTCAGTGTTTCTGTAAAGAAAAATGAGATGAGTGAGGCAGAAAGACAGACCTTTGGTACCCAGGACAGCACACACCATTACAAAGCTGGTCTCTCAAGCAGTTCCTTAGAAGAATGTAGAGAAGTTTTGTTTTGTTTTTTTGAGGCAGGGACTTGCTATGTACCTTCAGGCTAGTCTTAAACTCACTATGTAGCCCAAGCTGGTCTCCAACTCAAGGAGATCCTCTTACCTCAGCCTCCCTAGTGCTGGGATTATAGGTGCATGCCACCGTGCCTAGGGAGTTTTTTTTTTTAAATATCTGAGTTCTGGTACTCAGGGATGAACTGAGCTACATCTGCCTGTTCGTTTTTTTGTTTTATGGCAGGGTCTCATTCTGTACGTCAGCCTTTTCTGGAACTATGTAGCCTAGGCTGTCCTTAAACTCTCAGTGATCCCCTGTCTCAAGCTCCTAAGTACTGGAATTAACAGGCATGAGCCATCATGCCTAGCACCAGTCCTTTTTTACTTTAAGACAGGGTCTTGTTAAACAGTCAAATTGTCTGGGTTTAAATTTTCTTTCTTTTTTAGGTACTGGGAATTGAACAAAGGACCTCACACTTACCAGGTAGGCTCCACGCTGCTGAGCTATATCCCTGTCGCCATCAAACCTTCTATCCTTGCCTCAGGTTCCCAGAGTTACGGGATTATGGCAGTGTACTACAATATGTTATGTTTTATTTTTAAGTATACATAATAAAATACTGGGGGAAAATGTAGGAGAGGAGCATAAAGAACTCAAATGTGATCTCCTGCTCACAAGCAGCAGCCTCTGGATCCAAATTAATTGATTTTGGAAGCAGTCCAGCTAATGGGAAAGAGGTCTTAACAACAGGGTAGCCTTGCAGCCTGTCTCTTTCTCAGGCTACCTGACAAGTGCAGCAATGCACAAACTCATTTTAGTGCAGAGAGGGCTGAGAAAGGTGCCAGAGAGGGCTGAGAAAGGCGCCAGGGAAGGAGGGTGTTAGTTGGTAGCAGGTAACAGACACTATATAGTTCAACATCAACATAGCTATTGCTTATGCCTATATCTCAGGTCTTCTAGCTTCACTGAACAAACAGAATTTCGTTATTCTGGAAGACTAAATACTGAAGCATAATTCTGTGTACTTTGTGATACTTTTAATCTGATAGTACCTATTCTTTTGTTTCTGAAATACCACCATTCATCTATAAAGCAACCCTTAGTCAGATACACATGGGCAGATGAACTGCCTAAGATTTCCATTAAAATGCCAGGGATCAGCTTAGCGGCATAAGCACCTGCCTGGCAAGTGCAAAGCATGCATTCGATCCCTGCAACTAAAAAAAAAAAGACTTCCATTAAAATATGAGATTCAGCTGGATGTGGTAGCACACACTTATAATCCCAGCACTCAAAAGGCTGAAGTAGCAGGAAACACTGAGTGAGGAAGGTAAAGCAAAGATGAGTAAAGGCAAAAAGATGATACAGAAGGTACAACAGGGAGTTTGAAGCTGACCCAGACTAGACTACATATACATACTGAGTTCAAAGATAAACCTGAACTACCTAGAGTAAGACTGTCTCAAAGAAAAAAAAAGGTAATGAGACTGTGTTAGGTCACACAGTCAGAAAATGGTAGAGCTGGTAGGAAACAGAAAACAAAATTTGTTCATATTTTCACACAGGGAAATTGCAGCACTTAAGACACCCCCTACCCCAACCCTGTGTATTCTCCTAAACTAGTACTGATTATCTTTTGAACTGAGATGTGAATTTCAAATCTCCTTACAGTGGTCATAAGCAAAAGTGGACAAATGACATCAGTATAAATAAGAAGTTGAGTAAGAGGTAACAAAGGGCGTGGAAATAATAGAAATCCTCTCTTCTGAGAAATATAACTATACCTGGAGACTTAAGACATCATTAATAAGACCACCTCAAGGAAGAAACATTGCAAAACAAGTACCCAAAGTGCTGGGACCCCGATGTTGTTATTACGAGGAGGAGAAGCTGATTGAAATTCTTCTCAGGTATCAGTCACACTCCTGGGAAACCCAGGTATTAGCAATTTAGTAATTTCAGATACCTTGTGTGGGAGCAGAATCTCAAAGTAAAAAATGCTACTATACCTTGGGCCTCCAGTTTCTTTGGAAGATGGTTGTCTGTCTTATTTAATAGCTCAGGGATTTTGACCTTGGGTGGCCGACCTCGGCCCCGTTTCACCTTGGGGACTTCTTTAGTCTTAGCCTTTTCATTGTTTCGAGGTCGACCCCGTTTGCCAGTAATTGCCTGAATCCTGGATGGAATTTCTTCTGCTGAGAGTTGAACCCATTGCAAGCCCTAAGATAGCAGGAAGACTGTGTTACAATAGTGCAAATCACTTAGATCCTCTAAACCGTTTAAGGCTCCCAGAACTTCCAAACCCCACAAGAAAAGGCTCCAGATTGTCCATCAACTCTTTTTCAGGGACCAAAATACATTAAACCTTTGGCCAGCACCTCTGGTGTGTCTCTCTCTTCAAAGAAATCTCCAACAGGCATACGAGGACTGAAGCTGAAGTGTTCACGGCGCACACTGTGTACCACATTGCGGCTCAGATACTAAAAGAAGGAAGTTAATCAACATTAATGAGTCTTAACGATGTCTTTGGCTGGGAATGGCACAGCACAACAGGCCCTGGAGTAAACAATGCCATCCAACACCACAGGTCTCAAAAAGGGGTGTCTACCTTCAAAAACACCCATAAAGGCTATATTACCTTGATCACTTCTGGAAACTGTTTCATTCTCTTCCCACAGGGTCCATAATACCAGGTCTCCCCTTGCCATCGGTGGCTGCCCTTCTTGATGCGCACTTCTCTCCGCCACCTGCCAGAGAAGCACATGGGCCCTACCACCAGGTCACACGCCTACCCACTTCCAAGCCACCCAGGAGCCAAGCCCACTGAGCAGATGACCCTCCCATAGCTGTCTCACTAGTACTGTATGCAGATGCCAAAGCATTGTGAGAGATAAACTTGACTAAAAGGCCAACTGAGCTCTCACAAACACCTCAGGAGGACAGCAATACATTAAACTACGCAAAACTAAAAAGACCTCTACCTACAAAGTCTGTGAGATAAACAGCAAGAAATCCCTTCCTAATATCATTCAGGGAAACTTACTGAGTGGACAATAAAGGAAAAAATCGAGGGGAGTAGGGATAGAAGAAAGCGGATTGGGGAGGCAAACTGAAGAGTCAAGTCCCCACTGACTCCATAAAATGACTCAGTAAGCCAGAGTTTAGTTAGGAACTCCATGTTTTGAGTGACAGATTTTTGTTAAGTCTAAGCTTTATCTTTCTTTCATATTGTAAGTAATACTAAGAGTTGGTAACTGTAAATAGCCTAGAAGAGTTGGGGGAAGACAAGGCATGATAGTTACTTCCACAAAGCCCTTGGGTATTTGCTGGCTTATTCATTCTAGTTAACATACTGTTATAGTGTTTACCTCTTGCAACATCATTAAAGAAAAACCACCAAAGGGCCCAGGATATAGATCAGTAGCACAGTGCCTGCCTGGCAAGTGTGAGGTCCTGAGTTCAATTCCTGATTCCAAAAAAAACCCCACCACCATAACTAAACTACCCCAATTCATTGTTCATAACCCACTACTCATTTATTACTACCCTTTCTCTTTTGAAATAGGTGAGGGGGGTAGGGATTTAGCTCAGAGACATAAGCGCCTGCCTTGCAAGCAGGCAGTCATGAGTTCGATCCCCGGTACCGAAACAAAGACAAAAAAAAAAAAAAAAGAAAGAAATAGGTGAGGCAGCTAGTTTGGACATCTGAGACTCAGGGTCTAGTAAAGATAACAACTGGAGCCCCTTAATCAAGGCTGAGCCACCACAAGATGAGAAAAGAGTCAGTGAGTGAAGACAGATCCTGAAAGAAGAAAAACTCAGGAATCTCATACCAAGGAACAATATAATTACAGATAACAGTCCTGTAATCTACTCTTATCCAGCCAATTTCTCCCCAGACTCAGAAAAGGGAGCTCCTCAATTCCAAAAGTCATGCATTAAACTTTTCAAGGTCAACGCATGCAATAACCTAGAGCATTTACCCATGTTGGAGGGGAAGACGAACTTCTTCCGGAGTAGCGATACGTCTCCTCAGGACATCAGCTTGGAAGGAAGACACAGGATACCCATGTTAGGAGCTCAAGTACAACATTAACATAATGGGCCGAGGGTGGGGGTGGGGGGTGGAGAGGGGTGGATAACATACATGCAACATGGAACAACTCCCTTCCTTCATCTCTCACCCCACCAACTCTCAGTAGTACTGAGGGCTGAATTTGAGACCCTTGTACTGAACTAGATCCCCAATCTTTCTAAAATTTATTTTGAGAAGAGATCTTGCTAAGTCACTAAGTTGCCCTGACTGGGTCTGAGCTTGTGATCTTCCTGACTCAGCCTCCCAGAGCATTGAGATTACAGGCATATATCACACCTAGATGAAACACACTTTTCCCAGAACCAGTCAGAGGCTGAACAGAATCTGGACACTTACCACTACCAGAAGTAGTGACTTCTCCTGTGATCTCTTCCAGGTCACCAGTGCCTTCATGAAAGCTGCTGACATGTTTATTTGTTGGAGAGACAGAAGCTGGGGAAGTTACAGGGGAAGGTTTTGGGGAGCTCACTGGAGCTGTCAAGGCAACTTCCATAGAGACTGCCGGTAGGACTGCTGAGGAACTGGGAGAGACCACTTGGCAAGCTGCTGGGGAGAGATGTGGAGAGGCTGCTGGAGAAACTGACAGGGAGACTTCTGGGGAGACTGCTGGTGAGACTGCTGGTGAGGCTACTGGATGTAGTTCAATTTGAATAGTGGATGACTGCTCAGGGGGTGGCTGGGTCAGGGGTGGAGGGAAGTCAGAACCCTGAGTCTCCATTTCTTCCTGTTCGGCGTCACTGCCATTATTCAGGTCAAAGCTGTTATCTAGGATCCAAAGGGATAGAGTAAAGAAAAAATGGCATCACATAAAACAATCTGGATTAAGTGAACCATAGTCACTTCAAGGGCTTCATTCTAGGGTTTGAAAAAGCACCTCTGGCTTTCTTTCCCAAACATTTACAAAGGTTAAAGGGCAATATACACTATAAATATAAATATACTATAAATATATTGTATCTTTTGTCTGAAGCCTGAAAAGGAAGATATCTAGCCTCCCCTTGCAAGTCCCAAGACTCCAAAGTCTGGACTGACTTAACACAGGTTAAGAGTACAATTGTCTATACCTTTCTTAATACCACCATAAGCCCTTCACCCCCTAGCTAGGCATTCCTGCTGATTTCCTACTCCTATTGCCCTAACTATATGGAATCTACTTTGTTTTCTTTTTTTTTTCTGTCTTTTCTTTTTGGTAGGTCAAGGACTTTTTCTCGTCCTGCCTCTCCTCACTTACCCTGCAGAACAGACTCCCCTAAGACGGGTGGAGAGGCAGGGCTGGCAAAGATAGAAGCTGATGTTTGACTGTCATCGGCCAGGAGACTGAAGGTGGTAGCATTATTAAGTGAAGGACAATCAAGGGCAGAGATCACAGGACTATCTTCAAGAGGCAGTTTGTCCTCTGTACCCATCAGTTCTGTGTCATCTATACCATAAAGTCCTCCACTCACTGGCTCTGTTTATGGGGTGAAAGAAAAAAATCAACAGTATATTAAGGAAAAATTGGTAAAATTTCCTCAAAAAATACTGGCTTGGTGGTGACACATGCCTATAATCTCACTACTCTTGGAAGCTGAGGCAGAAATTGCAAATTAAAGCCCAGCCTAGGCTATTTAGTGACTTAGCACGACCCTATTAGTAGATAAATAACTAAGAAAGAAAGGCTGACAGGGCCAGGGATATAGCTCAGCAGCCTAAGCACCTGCCTGGCAAGTGCAAGGTCCCGAGTTCAATCCCTGGTGTCCAATAAAAAAAAGGGCTAACAAGTCAGTGCAAAGGTCCTCAGTTCAATTCCCAACCCAAAACAAAAACAAAGACAAAGACCAAAAAAAACCTGACCTTGAGCCAGGTGTGGTGACTCACGCCTGTAATCCCAGCACTCGGGAGGCTGAGGCAGGAGGATTGTTGCGAGTTCGAGACCAGCCTTGGCTACAAAGTGAGCTCAAGGCCAGCCTGAACTGCATAGCGAGACCCTGTCCCAAAAAACAAAACAAGGGCTGGGGATTTAGCTCAGCGGCATAAGCGCCTGCCTTACAAGCAGGCAGTCGCGAGTTCGATCCCTGGTACCGATAAAAAAAAAAAGACAAAAAAAACAAAACAAAACAAAACAAAACAAAAACTGGCCTGAAAAATGTCCAACTCTAGGCCATGTGTGGTAGCACATGTCTATAATCCTAGTACTCAGCTGAGGCAGGAGGATCACCAACTACATGTTTAAGGCCAGTCTGGACTACACAGCAAGACTCTGTCTCAAACTCCATTTCTACTTTCCACAATGTGAAGATTCTAAAATTAAATGGGAGGCTTGTGGTGTGAGACACACAAGTGGCGACCCCAGTGGGTAAACTGGTAGGTGGTGTGGGTGAAGCCCCATCCCCCTAAACAATTAAATGGGAAAATACACAATATACAGCACTTTAAAAGAATTGGCCAGGGGCTGGGGGTTTACTTCAGCAGCACAAGCACCTGCCTGGCAAGCGTGAGATCATGAGTTCAATCCCGCTCCCCCCGCCCCACCAAAAAACAAAGTTCCATTTTAGCCAGGTATGGTGGCACATGCCTGCTGTAATCCTAGCACGTGGGAGGCTGAGGCAAGAGGATTGTTGTGAGTTTGAGAGCAGCCTGGGCTACAAAGTGAGCTGAAGGCCAGCCTAAACTGCATAGTGAGACCCTGTCTCAAAAAAAAAGACAGGAAGAAAGGAAAAAAAAGAAAGAGCCAGGCATGTTGGTGCACACTGTAATCCCAGCATTCTGGGAAGCTGAGGAAGGAGGATCACAACTTGAAACCCAGGATGGGCAACTTAGTGACTTAAGCAAATCCTGTGTAAAAATCTACAAAAAAAAAAAAAAAAAAAGCAGAGGACCAGGGGTACACAATTAGGGCACTGGGTATACAGCTTAACAAGCAGGTCCTGGGTTAAATACCCAGTACAGGAAAAAACAAAACAAAAACCAAGTGAATGAAAAAGTAGTCATTTAAAAGAAAAAAAAAGAGTAAAGTTCTCAGACTGTAAAGACCATAAAAGTTCTGAAGTGAAAAGTAAAAAAGCATTGATCACAGAACCTTGCAAAATTATAGTATTTATCATAAAACATGCCTTTCCTATATATCAGTGTGGTAAAAAAACTACTGTTCATTGACAAATGTTTTCTCTAAGTGAGAACACAAATAGCCAAACTGCTATAGTAGTTAAGCCCATATTCAGTGAATTATTAGAGCCCAAGATTCTTGGCCAAATTGAACACTGGCAAGAACTTGGGAAATGAACCAATTCAGTTCAGAGGGGAAGTTGGCCCAGGCAGGCCAGTGGCACATAACTGTGGTCTGCCTCTAGATTATCTGGAAGTCTCAATGCCCCAGATTCTCTGACATGGTCTCTGTTTTACTTTTTCTTTTAGGTGGTAAAACTGGCTACCCTCTACTTGGAAGTAAAAGATCCAGCCTTCTAGCTCACCTGGTGCCAGAGAGTCAAAAGGCTCAAGAGAATCTTCACTGAGGATTGGAGTGTCTTCTAGTTGATCAGGAAGATGAGAAGGGTCATCTAAACAGCTTACTGTGGGGTCAGGAACCAGGACTGAGACCTCTTGGTGTAATGACTCCACAGAGGGGACAGAGCCATTATATCCACACATCTTTAGTTCTAGGGAATTCCAGGAGAGAGCACAAGTCAAAATTGGTGCCTTTAACAGCTTCATTTAGGTATACCAGGCAGTTAAAATTGTTTTAGAAGGATGCTCATTCACTCAAAATACTGCTAGGGTGCCAATTCTATGTTGGAAACTGGTATATCAAGATACTCTAAATGAGCAGAGATGTACTGGTAAAACCAATTCTGCAGCTCAGAAAGTGAGAGGGATCTGAGACAAGAACCCAGTCATGTTCATACACATGTGCCCCAATTATGAGAACAAAGGACATCCTATGATTTTACAGGGTGGTCTCTCTGTTGTACTGGGTATCCTTTTGCAAGCTAACTTTTTGAGAGAAATTATAGAGGTATTGTCACACATACTAATGCTGTACACAAGCAATGGCAATGGTATATTCTGCTTGTTTCCTTCCACCTTCACATGTCAATCACTACTAGGGTTTGGATGACTTTAGCAGCCACTTGATCATGCCTTAGTCAAAAGGGCTTCATTGCCCACTACTAACATCTTAACCCTTTCATGTTGTAGAAGAAGCTTTCTTGATGCAGAGTATCTGTTGGGGCTGTTTCAGGCTCGCCCACCTGCCCTCTCCAGGCCAGCAGCTCTGCATGAGCTTGAAATAATTTGCACTCCCACTCTCGAGCTGGTGCTGCAGCCACAAAAACACCAGCCACTTGGCTCTGCTAATCACCAACATGCAAATCAGCCTCCACTGCAGAGAGCTGGAAGGACAAGTTTTTCTCACCTCCAAAAGCCACTATCCCCACAGCTCCATTTCCCTCTCCCCATCCAGCTGAGACACCCAGTTATACCTGGTTGCTCTTCTTCCAGCTCCAGGCTGCCTACCAAGCCAGTGCCATTCTCTGCCACGACTGAAGTCAACTCCTTTTCTGCTGCCTCATCAGGGTGGATTACACTGCCTACCTCCTGGGAGGGCGCAAAGGTCTGGACACTAGATCCCAACATAGGAGAAGTCTGTGGGGAGGTGAAAAAACCTGGGGGTCCATTGGGCATCACCTCAAAATTCTGGTCAGGAAAGGAATCATACAGTTCCTGTGAATCAAAGTTAAGCCCCATTGGACTCTGGGTACCGTTGCCCCAGAACTCTTGGCTACCAGCTCGAAGGTTAGTGTTGTGACTTGGGGATGAAGGTTGCCGGCTGCCCCCAAGAATGCCGTTGAGTGGGTACTGTCCCCCCGAGAACTGGGAGAGAAGGGGTGGGTCCTTGAGGTTGCTGCCAGGATTGGCAGATGGGTACTGTGAGTAGTTCCAGAGACAGTCATAGGCCACGTTGGGATGATGGAGGTGTGAGGTGCTGGAGGAGTGGGGAGCAGAGTTCAAAATCCCTGAAGTAGTAGTGTGAGATACAGTAGATAAGCCATTAACATTCACATCCCCATTCAAACCTGGCAGAAAAGAGAGAAAAGGATCAGTTATAGATGTATATACAAGACCACCAAAAGACCCCAATGTAATAGGACTGATTAGATAAAGAGAAGGGAGAGTCCCTGTTATATTTAGCTTTTAGGTCTCTGAGGAACACAAAACCCAGATACTCCTGAATGTAAGCTTAGCAACTGCTGCTGAGACTGCTGTGTAGGGGGTACCATGGGAGCTACCAGCAGAGCTGGCTGCTGCCGCCGCCTTTTTATTAAATGAAGCTGTCTGCAGAGTCCCTACAGTGAGTTGCATGCTTCTTCCAGTCATTCCCAGGAGGAATTCTTCCATCAGAGGGGCATAACTGAACTTTCTAGGTACTCCCCATCCCAGTGTCTATTTGGCCCCATAGTGGCACCAGAAGGGACCAGCCTCCACCTCACTGGCACATGCAGATCCAGCACTTTGTGCTGGGCTAAGAATAGAATTTGCAGTCACCACAGTGACAAGATTTCAGCTCAGAAGGCTGGGCTTAGCCCCTCCCCATAGGCTCTGGAGAATAATAAGGTAAAAATCTTTGCATGAACCGTGCTGTAGAATTCAACTCTCAACACCAATGGGACTCTCTGGGATAATGGAGGACAATCAAATAAAGGAAAAAAGGAAATCTGAGACAGGAGCAGGAGAGACACGCCAATGAAAATAACTTCTATCCCTCTGCAAGCCCCTTGTAGAAGATAGGAGGATAAGTGATAAGTATAAGCCTGTATTTTTCTCCTACAAGGACAGAGGAAAGTATGGGGGCTTCTCTCTGCTATTAAACATAAAGGACTTGAAACCTAAGCAAGATTAAAGAGGCACTTCATACTACATAGTAACTGAGAAGCCAAATCCAGCAAAAGACCTAATTAGGGTAGCAGCACTTCCATCTGGAATTATGAATTTCTCTCTAGGCAAACTAGGTACACACTCAATTCTTTTTTGTCCCTACCTTTTATCCAAGGACAGGAGGTGACACAGGCCCTTCTACAATCTGTTCTTTCTCTGCTGTACAAACTAAAAGGCAAACATATCCCAATCTTCACCTACCTTTCTTCACCCTTAGTCCTAGCTCAAAAACAGCTTCTCTAACCTCTAAAAACAGATTCTCAAGGCAGGTCCTTTATCTCTTTCTCAAGGATATAACCAAGTCATCAATAAGCAGAAGTAGCCACCTCACCACTCTCTGGCAATAGCCAGGAAACAGTGTTAACATAAGAGCAGGGTAAGATGAAAAAGCCAGTATGTTTTCTAATACTTTCCAACTTTAAGTCAAGACTAAAAATGTTGCATCTGTAAACCCCTAGAACTTATTCTTAGAAGTCTGATTTCTCTCCAGCAGCTAGTTCTTTGGATTCATTTCCTCCTTTCCTACCTAGCAAGAAAGAGTTGTGGGATCGCTAGCCTAAAACAGAGCCAAACCTCCTCCCAATAACCTGCTCTAAAGAAATGATGCCCATTTCCCTCCCCAGCCCATGTGGCCCTCACACTCACTTTTCCCTTGCTGAGGGAAGTTCATGGGAGACCCGTTAGTGTAGAGGCCCTCCCCTGAGGGAGAGGGTTTCAGTCCTGAGGCAGCAGGTGCAGAGGAAAGGCCAGTAAAGTTAAAATGGTCGTTTGCCTCCATTTCTGTAGGAGGGGAGAGAGAGAAGGGGAAAAAAATACTGGCGGTTAAACAAGGTAATGTCACCAGGGATCTCCTAGAGGGAATTACCCCTCCCCTCCCACTACTTAAGATTTGAGAAAGAAAAGGATGAAATATGCCCCTAACCTGACAACGAGTCTATAGAGGTCTTTCAATTAACTTTATAGTGACTTAAAAAAAGAGAGAGAGAATAATCATACAAAAGCCTAGGAGTCTACTCAACACAAGCAACCTTATCCCTCTGTTAAGATATTAACCCTCTACATTTTCCTTTTGCTTTTATCCTCCTGGTCAGGCCCATCCCCAGAATCCATAAAAAGTTATCAAAGTCGTATTTTTAACAAGAAGCTGTGATGATGGGAATACTGGCAGGAAAAGCATATATGATATATACCCCACTTTGTTTTTATTATGCTTGAGCTAACCAGCTTGTCTGTTATCCTATCCATAGCCTCAAACATCTGAAGATAGTGTAATTACATGAATAAATGGATTTGAAAGAGAAAATATACTTCAGAAAACAAACTGTGGTACACACACACACAAATCAGTGATATTCTACTATTCTGTTTTTTGTTTAGCGATGTTGGGGAATTAACTCAAAACCTCACACACATATGCTAAGCAAGCACTCTCTCCCAGAACTCCTACCTCACTCAACCTCAGTATTCTACTTCTTTTTCACAACAAATAGCACAGTCTTCAAGAACATAAGCCAGAAAACTGTCAGCAATGAAGCATGATTAACAGTGTCAGCTGAGCTGGGCATGGTGCACATGCCTGTAATCCCAGCACTTGGGAGGCTGAGGCAGGAGGATCGCAGCTAGTCTGAGGCCAGCCTAGGATACAAAGTGAGTTCAACGTCCGTCTGAACTTCATAGTGAGACCCTGTCTCAAAAGAAAAAAAAAGTGTCAACTGAGAAGCACCAAGAATGATGAGAAACAAAACCCTTCAACAGAACGAAGAGTAGAGGTAAAATAGGAAGCAGAAGCCAAAATTACTGGTAAAGTCTGACACATTAATCAGATACTTGTGGTATACTACTGTATTCTAACTTCAATCAAGAGAAAATCTGTCTTGATGCAGAGAAAACAGCTTCATAGATGTTACTTGATTTTAAAGACAGAATAATTCACACAGAAAAGCTAACCAAATTCCCATAAAGAGGTAATAAATATACCTTAGGTGATGTTTTAATCAAACTTCTAAAGAGATAAATAGCTGGGCAAGGTGGCACATGCCTATAACCCCAACACTCAGGAGGCAGAGGCAGGAGGAACACCATGAGTTCAAGCCTGGCCTTAGCTGCATAACTGTGTTTAAGGCCAGCCTGCAATATACAGTGAGACCCTGCTTCAAAAATAAATAAATAAAATTAAAATTCAAAGGGAAAAAAAAAAAAAGAATGTATATGACTACTCACTGGCCAATGTTGCAATTACATTTTATGTATTAGGCACAGTCAAAAAATACAGTGAATGTGTATACTTTTCTCCTGTTTATTACAGTAAAAAACACATTGCCATAAATTCCCTCAAACATACTTATCCTGTCATACTTGCCATTTTGTGAAGCAGTTTTGGAATTTTCTTTCATGGCTTTTTTTCTGGCTGCCTCAATGTTCTGAATCAATTCAAAACATGTACCTTTCAAGATCACTGTGACTGGGGGTTGGAGATTTAGCTCAGCAGCATAAGCACCTGCCTTGCAAGTAGGCAGTCGTGAGTTCAATCCCTGGTACCGATAAAAACGAAAAAGACAAAAAAAAAAAAAAAAAAAAAGATCACTGTGACTTTGAACAGCTAGAAGTCACAAGATGCTACATCTGGTGAACAAGGTAGGTAAGGATACAGGTAATGTTTTCATGACACTGGCTGTCTGTGGGATGGTACATGGAGCAGCATTCACTACATTTTAAATCATACTTCATAAAGGTACTTAAAGCAGTATCATAGTTGCTTCATGAAGTGGCAAAAATGGCCAGGCCTGGTAGGACAGGCCTGTTATTTCAGCAGTCTGGGTGGCAGAAGCAGGATAGATGTTTGAGCCCAGCTCAGGCAACTTAGGATAGCAAGATCCTATCTCAAAATGAAAAATAGAAGAGGGCTGGAGGTATAGCTCATTGAAAAGACCCTGGGTTCAAGCACCAATATCACACACACCAAAACAGGTCTGAAAATAAAGGACACGCCAAAAAAAGGGCAAAAATAATGAAATACACGTGCTCAAAGTAAGGAGGAGCACTGTTAAGAAAATTAATGGCAATGTCTTTTACCATAATTTAAAAAAAAATTCTAGGGGCCAGGGATACAACTCAGTGGCCTGTCAAGTATTTGTCTGGCAAGTGCAAGGTTGTGAGATTGATCCCTGGTACCAAAACAAATAAAAATAAAAATCCTGGGGCTGGAGGTTTAGCTCAGCGGCATAAGCGCCTGCCTTGCAAGCAGGCAGTCGTGAGTTCGATCCCCGGTACCGATAAAAATGAAAAAGACCAAAAAAAAAAAAAAAAAAAAAAAAAAATTAAAACAATAAAAAATTTAAAAAAAAATCCTAAACATTCACTGTATATTCTGATCACCCTATGTATGTGTAAAGAACATAATTCTGCACATGAATTATAAACTCTGTATAGTATATGGCATGATAATTATAGAATTTTCTAGACTAAGTGTAATTACCTCTACCTTAAGCAATTTAAACTAAAATAAAAAATAATCGTGTTTTACTGATTAAGAAAGAAAATTTTTAAGAAAAAATTAAGACTTATATTCTGAATAGGATTTCCCAATCTTCCTTTATTAAATAAGTAGCACACCTCAACCTGCTGTGCACTAAGGGGGAAAATAAAAAAACCCAAACATATCTCTATAAAGAAGACCTCATGGTCCTCCAGGATCTCTCTATTATAGTTAAATGGCACTCCTTAATACTAGAGGATCAGGGCTGGGGATTTACCTCAGTGGCATAAGCACCTGCCTTGCAAGCAGGCAGTCATGAGTTCGATCCCTGGTACCGATAAAAAGGAAAAAGACAAAAAAAAAAAAAAATACTAGAGGATCTGAAAAATAAACATCATGAAATCCTTCTAAATAAAAGAAGACAAAAAGGAAAGCTCATTTCCTAATCTGTAGGTTAGGTTCTTCCAAAGCTCATTCTATAAAAAGGAGATTCAATAGTTCACTTCAGAAATCCTGAAAATGCTATGCCTGGAGAACCACTTTCATCTGATACCCATCTCTCCTGTTCCCCAAATTTTATGCAGAGCTATATTTCTCATCTGGTGTGTGGGGGGTACAAACACACATATACAAAACAAAAATATACACACCCCTTTCCTCTTATGTACTCTGGACTATACCCTCCCACTCAATGGTGAGCCACAGATCATTTTTTTATCTATTTGAATCTCTGAGGAAACTAGCTGTTGCTCTGGAAAAGCACAGCATAACCCCTTTCATAAATTACATACTAGGAAGAGTAAGTGGATAGCTCACAGAAATCAGAGAAGTAAAAGGAATAGAAGTTAGCTTGTGTCTGTCTGCTCCCCACCATCCCTTACTGAAGGGTCACAAGAACCACAATCATTTCATTTATAAGCTTCATAGACACATAAAACATTCTGGGCTGTTCAATGAGGTCAGCACAATGTAGTAGGCTCTAGATTCACAACCCAGCTCTACTATTTATTATCTTTCTTGGTGAGATTAAAGAATTGTTATTTGAAAAATTTTAGTACACACTTCCAGGGCTTGAGAATATTAAATTAGAAAATTTGTATAAAGCCCTAACACTCAATAAATGTTAGCTATTGTCATTGGAGAATAAAAAGAATGCTTAGATTACAAAATAATAATCAGCTCCAAAAGGTCTAAATTTTTTTTTTTTTTAAAACCTGGGGGATCAAACTCATGACTTTGCACTTGCCAGAAGGTACTTATGCCACTGAGCTAACCCCCCCTGGCCCTCTTAGAAATATAATTTAAAACCATTATCAGAATGGAAAAAGACTTCAAAACTAGGAAAGATCTGCTCAAATTTCCTTATATCCAATTTGACTCCTGATTCTGGTATTATTTGAATATGAGATCACAATGAAAATGTGAACAATTCCTCTCCTCAGTAAAGATTATCTCAGGGGTTATTTCATTTTAATCTTCCTACCCAAAATGCTTTCCTTAATAAAGCATGAAGGTAAACTCTGTCCTCCAATGCAGAGCTAGTAAGAACAGTAAAGCAAAGGAAGGTGTCTCCCTTTGAACTTAGCAGGACTTTGCAGGGGGAGGGATCATTTAGTGCCCAATCCCCAGAATAGTAGACATCATGACCAGGAAGTACAATCGTCAAGTACCCTGCTGCCCATAAATGGACGATTTCTTAACAGCCTCAGTGTTGCTGGGTGTGTTGGCGCACACCTGTAATCCCAGCACTTGAAAGGCTGAGACAGGAGGATCACTGAGACTTCAAAGCCAGCCTGGGCTACACAGTGAGACATATGTCTCAAAATAAACAAAAGTTAAGAGACATTGCCCCTTATCTGTGGCAGCAAGGCACCTGCTACATGCTCAAATGTGATGCTTTTCTCTCAATTGCAATTAAAAAAAAAAAACTTCTGTGGGTCTATGACATGATTTTAACAGAAAAAGACTGACAATGTAAGTGTTGAAATAAATATGACAGATTTTGACACTACTGCAGGTGTCCTGCCTGACCAATTCTAACCTGAAAGCTTCTAAGGTTACCCTTGGAAACAAGACATATCAATACCCTCCAACTGGATACTTTGGTAGTCTCTGCAGCACTCTGGTGGTTCTTCTCAGGTAGTCCACCAAAATGCCACATAAGAAAGGTTTCTAATTTGAGAGAAGAGGGTGGGTTGAGACTTGTAACTTTTTTTTTGTCTTTTTGAGACAGGGTCTCACTATGCAGTTCAGGCTGGTCTTCAGCTCACTTTGTAGTCCAGGCTGGTCTCGGAACTCGCAATGATCCTCCTGCCTCAGCCTCCAGAGTGCTGGGATTACAGGCATGAGCCACCACACCCGGCCTTTAACTTTCTTGACTAAATAGCAAAAGCAAATTCTATTGTATAGTGAATAAACCATACTACTACATGTTAGCTTTATAACCATGAATGTTATGAAGGATAGTTCTCAACTCTATACATCTGGGTTACCTACCACATTCTAATACAAAGGTTTCCAACATGGGGTGATTTTTAAGTTATGTCAAGTTATGTGCTACCTGCAGCTGGTAAGTAGAAGCCTCACTAAGCATCATCAATGCAAAGGACAACTCTCCACAATATAAAATCATCTGGCCCAAGATTCAGTGACAAAGACTGAGAAACCCGGCTCTATGCAACACAAAAGCTCCCCAACACCCTGGGAAAGTTCCAGGTTTTCACTGCTTCCAGTTTCTGATACTAAAAGTAGGGATCTTTGACTCATATCTAAAAATCCCAGGTTGGGGATACAGCTCAGCAGCACAGTGCCTGCCTGGCAAGTGCAAGGTACTGAGTTCAATTCCCAGTATTCCCCTCCCCTCACCACTTCTTTCTGGCCAAGTTATCTTCCTCCACTAATATGAGTTCCAAGAACCGAGACTCAAAGCACATATGCCTTCTTCTCCAGTCAGGATGGCTCATTCCAATCCTGGTAAACAAGCTTCCCTTGGAGCTCTGACTCAGACAAACTATAGTTGAGGCTCATTCTCTTTCAAAATGCCCTTTACTTAACCCCCCCGCTTCCTAGTCAGAACTCTTTGTTTTTTGGGTACTGGGAATTGAATTCAGAACCTTGTGCCTGCCAGGCAGCGCTGTGCCACTGAGCCATATGCCCAGTTCCCTAGTTAGAACTGTTAAGGTGAGGCAGGAAGATGATGAAAGTACATTGTCTACTAAAAGACCAAGCAAAGGAAACTGCCATGTCCAGGGTGCTCAATGGAGTTTATACAAAGATGGTTATTTCTCCCACACTACGTAGGTTGTATAGCAGCAACTGGATATGAGGTCCTACCATTGTTTCCAGCACCTAATTTAGCATCTAGGAGATAAAAGAACCAAAAAGTATTTGTTTGATTGAACAAGTGAGTAAATCTGTGGGGTATTTATTTCACTATTATCAGCTTACTCATCCTATTTGAAAATCTCCTATTTTCAAAGAACCAAAAAATTCAGCTTCACTCTTCACAGAGATATAATTTCTAGAGGAAAAAAAGGTCTGAGGGGCTGGGGATTTAGCTCAGCTGCATAAGCGCCTGCCTTGCAAGCAGGCAGTCGTGAGTTCGATGCCCGGTACCGATAAAAAGGAAAAAGACCACACACACACACACAAAAAAAAAAAGGTCTGAAATCGTGACATATTTTAGATGGGGCTATTCCCTTGTAGAAAATAAGGCTGAGAAACAGAAGTACTAAGAACTGTAAAATATCAGTTTAAGCTCTAAACTAGTGAAATGTCTTGAAAGATTGATATTTAACTGAACACTCATAGTACACAAATTTACAATATTTGTTAACAAAACACTGTAAAGGAATCACATAATCTAAAATTTTCTGCCATACCTCTAGTTACTTTGCTGTGAGAAAAAGGAAAATGTCTCTAAAATTGCAAGAAACTAAAAATCAGAGATGCAAATAATAACATCATTTCATGTAAGTCACCTAAGTATTCTCAGATTTTGTTATCCTTGGGGTCTGGAACCAAAGTCACACAGGTATGAATGTATTTAGGAGGACAAAATACTAAGTTAGTGCTACTGTACTGCTAGTGACAAGAACCACTTAAAAGACTCTTTTTTTCCAAATCCATTTTATTCATAGATAAGAAGGAAGAAAAAAAATAAAAAAACTACAACAAAATTTTAAAGTACATCAGGGGGGTAACAATGATACATATACTCATGTTGTCATCCCCAAATCATTCACCCAGAGCACGACATCTGCCTTCAACTGTCTAAACAATACCAGTATAAATCTTTCTTTTCAATGAACTCAGAGAAATCAGTAGTATAACTATCTTAACTATTTTTTATATACTTACGCATTCACATGTTTTTTCTTTCAGCATGTCACACTAATGAAACATGACGTTTACACGTCTTATTTATTTCACTAATGAGTATGTTCTCAAGGTGCATCTATTTATCTATTAGTGTCCAGCTTATTCTTTATGGCTGAGTAGTACTCCATTGTAGAAAAATATCACTGGGGGGGGGTAAGGTCTTTTTGAGACAGGGTTTTGCTATACAGTTCAGGCTGGCCTTGAGCTCACTTAGTAGCCCAGGCTGCTTTGGAACTTCTATAGATCCTCTTGCCTCAGCCTCCCAAGTGATGGGATTATAGGCATGTACCACCATGCCCCAGATGAAAATACCACATTTTTTTTTTTTATCATCCCTCAGTCGATGGGCATTTAGGTTGTTTCCAAGATCTGGTTATTATAAACTGTGCTGCTATTAACATGGGTTACAGACTATTTTAAAGACAAGGTTTTTAAATTACTCTAACAAACTGTTGAAAAATATATCCTCTCAGTCACATGAGACAATGTTGAGAAGTATTCATTTTGGGCTATAAGACACAAAAGGACATCGATACTCTAAGTCAGGAAGATGATTTGCCCAGTAACTACCTCATGAATTGTATATTTTAACCGGGCATGGGGGCTCATGCCTGCACTCAGGAGGCTGAGGCAGGAGGATCGTGTGAGTTCGAGATCAGCCTTAGCTACAAAGTGAGCTCAAGGCCTGCCTGAACTGCATATATAACCAGACCCTGTCTCAAAAAGACAAAAAAAAAAGAATTGTGTATTTTACTCTATGTCCCACGACATAAAAACTGGCATTACTGTTGAGGATTTAACTCAGTGGCATAAGCACCACCTTGCTCGCAAGAGCTAGGTCATGATTTTGATCCCCAGCACCAAAACAAACAAATAAAATGAAAAAAAAAATGGCATTACTGCCTCACTTTACACCACATGAGGTCAAAATGCATACCAATTACTAACTTTTATCCTTTTTTTGATGCCAGGAATCAAACTCATGACCTCATGCTTGCCGGGTAGGTGCTGTGCCACTGAGCTATGTCTGGCCCTAAAATTCTTTTTGGTTTTGAGACTGAGTCTCGGTATGTAATCCAGGCTGACCTCAATCTCCAGAGATCCACTGGCCTCAGCCTCCCAAATGCTGAGATTACAGGTGTGTGCCACCACACCCGGCTATACAATTTTAGCAGTAAAAAAAACATGGTAGTTTGGTCCTTGACCTCTTCAAAGATTAGAAAGGAAGGTCAATAGCATTAAGACAAAAGTCAGAAACCCAAAAATATTTGCTTCTCTCTTGGTAGCACCTGATTCCAGAACGATAGAACAACAAAATAAACCTCTACTGGCATTTCAGATTTGGATTGGCTGAGATCAACACATATAACTCTTTTACTTCAAATTTTTTTCTTTTAAGGAGAGCAGTCAGTATTAAGAGATTTACTATTCTGTAGAGAAATGCAGCCATTTTATGACAACGCATAAAAGGCTTTCCTCAACTGTATTAAAGGAAGTCAGCATTTTCTCAAAAATCTATTTCAAAGTCCAAAAGTAGTAAGTCCTTTTTTTAAATTGGTATATACTGAGGATTGAACCCAGGATTTTTGCATGATGCTACATCCCCAGCGCCTAAAAAGTTTTTTGTTTTTGTTTTTTTAAAAACTTTGAGACAGGGTCTCCCTAAGTTGCCCAGCTCAGCCTCCCAGAGTGCTAGGTTTTTATTTTGGTTTTTTGTATGTGTACTGCTGACATTGACCCCAGGGCCTCATGGGTGCTAGGTAAGCACTCTATCACTGAATGACATACCTAGACCTCTTCAATTTTAATCCGAATAGGGAAAAATCAACTTATTCTTCTGTCAGGTCTCAATTTAGGTAAGCAAAGGCTAAAGAAAGGGGAACTTAAAAAAAAAAAAAAATCATTCCAGAAATCAAAACAAAGGAACTAGCCAGTCTACCAGAGCATGGAAAAGCCTGACATCAGAAGGCCTTGTTAACACTCAATGAAAAGAGCAATGACATTATCTTAAACACAATGATGCCACTTCCTTATCCTGGATTTTAATCAACAAATCTACAATCAGAAAGTAGAGTTTTTACTGGAAAACAGTCAAACTTTGATTTAAATGCGAAACTTACATACTTTTTAGGATACTCCAAATGCTCGTATGTCAACACTCAAAATTTAAACTCTTAGGGCGAACTCTTGTCCCCAGCCAAATCTAGTGTGCAACAAAACGCCTTTAGGCTATAAAAGAAATCTGAATTTATCACCTTAAGCGAAAATCTCAGCAGAGGAAGAGTTTACCATTCTCCAAGTAAGAGATGTTCTTTCATAGACTGAAGGGTAAGCCACACGACAAGTAAACTCCTATTCTAAATTAGTTCAACGAAGAAGGAAAAAATCTGCAACACCCTAAGTCAACAGGATTCCCAGTAAGGCTGTCCTTAGGCTAAAATCACCACTGAGGAACAGTCAGTATCATTCTGTACACATTAGTTCCCACCCCCAATTAGACAACTTAAAAAGGTAGGTTAAATCTTTCCCATTACCTCTTCCTCCACTTGTCAGAATATTTCCTTCTTTACTTCACAAATTCACTTGCCCAGAAGCTGTGTAATGTAAAAACTGTCAAATAACATATTAAGCAGAATCCGAAGAAGCCATTCTCATAGCAGCTCTCTATACGAGGGACTCATCACTTATACTGATGGTGTACACTGAGTACCTCCAGCGCAAATTGGGGTGGTGGGGGAGAGGACCTCAGGGATAAAGAGATATTCTGGAGGAGGGGAATCGGGATTAGCGGGACCACTGCAGTAGACAACTTTTAGTTGACAAATTAAGTTTATCCACGGGGGAAGGGTTCAACGAAAAGTCTCTCAGGTCACACGGTTGGTAGGATCCAAGCTTGCCCAGAAAGCCTCAGAAAACGAAACCAAATCTAATTAAAATGGACATTTCAAAACAACAAGAGTCACAGCAGCAAACGCACAGCTGCCATTTCCCGGCCACTTCCTGCGGGAGGCTGGGGGAGGGGCTGTTTGTGTACAGATGGAGGTGGAAGCTATCCCCATCAACGCCCCTCAAAGGATACAAATCCCTCACTCTGATAAAGCCCTACATAGGATAACTGCTACTGCTACTGCCTTTCCCTGAAAATAGGAAACACCAGAAAAGGGATGATGCGAGGTCATCTTTCCTTCCACGGAAACGGGGATCCCCTTACTTAACGAGGGATTTCCTTGCAAAGGAACACCTCTTTATCTTCCCCCTGAACCCAACTCTAATCCGGACGACTAGACTTATCGATCCCATCCCTGGAGTAGGGGACTCTCCGAGGACGACAGTGCCCCAAGCCAAGTGCAGCACAATTCCCAGCCAGGCCGTGTCCTGGCCTCCACGCTCCACAGAAGGTGCGTGCTCCCATAGGGAGGCACCTTCGGACCCAGGGAAGCCCCTTCTGCCCTCCACTCACCGCGGCGCAGCGGCGCAAACACCCGTACACCCACAGACGGTTAGCCCACCCAGGGAACCCCCGCACCCACCCGAGCACGCGGGCAGTCCGCACCCCCACTCAAGTAGGTGGAGCCCCTCCCCAGGATTCCACCCCGAGTCGCCCACTGGAGTCTTCTCCACCAGCCAGAAGGCTTCTCCGCCTCCTCAAGTCGCTGCTGCCGCCGCCGCACCACCGGGAGCTTTCACAGCTCTGCCCGCCCCCGCGGCCCAGTGTGGGTCCTCCGCGGCTCGGCCAGTCCCCAGGGCAGGGACACCCCGAGCAGGAAATAAGCTTCCCTCAGCTTCCCACCCCATATTAGGCTGAAGGCAGCTCCGGACCTTCTTCCCGGAGGGAAGCCTCGGATAAGAGCGAGGCTTCCTCTCCTCAGACTCCCATTCACAGACCCCACAAACCTGGGGAGGTGGCGTCGTGCCGGGCTCGGGGCTCGCGTCTCCCCGGGGGGCGGGCGGTTCACATGGCCGAGCTGCGGGCGTCGGGAGGGGAGGAGACGCCCGCGGGGGGAGGGGGTCTGGGGTCCAGGGTCTGGGAGGGGGATGGGGGACGCGGCTCAACCGCGGGGCCCGAGCGTAGCCAACATGGCCGGCAGGGGAGGAGTGAGTCGGAGCCGGAGGGGGCGGGGAAGATGTGGCCGCGAAAGCCGCCCTCCTTGGCCTGGATTCCCAGGTCCTAGCGCCCAACGTCTCAACTTGCGTTCTGAGATCTGGGTCCTAAAGCCTTTTGAGTGCTAAAACCCAGTCTTGGCAGCCAAATCTCTTTGAGGGCTGTGGTCTTGCTTCACACCAGCAAACTGAAAGACGAGCCATAGTCTTAAAATTAACCTAAAATACTAGGCCACAATTCTAGCACCAAAGGCACGCGCTAACTTGAGGGAGATTGACAATTTCAGGGACAATTTCCCAGGCAGAGTAGTAGAAAATAGAGTTGGAAAGATTAGTTAGGGCATTATTCAAAGAGTTGGAAAGAGCAAGGGTCCACCACCCACTCACCTCTGTTCGGTCAGGGCAGCCTGGTGCTGTCTGGATCACCACTTTCCTGGTGACATCTGCAAGGCCCTGGCCTTCAGAAACATTCCTGTGAGTAGGGAAAAGACTGCTTGGTTCTGGAAGCAGACAATGGAAACTGATTCTAGACTAAATGCCCTCCAAAATGTAGAAAATGAGCAGAAAACTGACCAGTAAATATGGTCTACTCATGGGTTCAGAATGTGGCTCAGTGGTAGAGCACTTGCCTAAAATAAGCTCTGCTTATGCTATTGTAGTACTTCGTGAAACTTTCTGGAAACAGAAAAGTAAAATCTAGCAAACTAGCTTGGCTGTTACCTAAAGTGTCTGTTGCAGGGCCACAGGATGAGAGATAATTACATATGATGTTAGAGAATATTGAATTTGTAGTTTAGAGCTGGAAGTGGTAACGCACACCTGTAATCCCCGCACTCAGGAAGGCTGCGGCAGGAGTATCATGGTGAGTTCAAGGCCAGCCTGACCTACATAGTGATACCCTATCTCAAAAAGACAAAATAAATAAATATATAAATAAAAGCTTTTAGTTCAACTTTCTCTCCTTTGTCAAAAAAAAAAAATTTTTTTTTTTTTTGGTCTTTTTCATTTTTATCAGTACCGGGGATCGAACTCATGACCACCTGCTTGCAAGGCAGATGCTTATGCCGCTGAGCTAAATCCCCAGGCCTCCTTTGTCAAAATTAAGACTCAATGTTTCAATGATTTGTTCAAGGTCAAACAGTGGATAAAATACGACTAGAAATAAACCAAGTTTCATTTCCTTACAATTCAACGTTTTTCAGGCTTCAAGAAAATTTCCATTCAATTCAATGAAATGCTATTCGATAAAACAGTTGCCTAAAAACTGCAAAGTTCAGGCTGAGTGTCTTGAAAGAGCAACAAGAGTGGGATGGTAAAATTCTGGCAAGTTGGGAGATCTCAACAAATACCTTTACCTGGGGGTGATTAAGGAGGAACCATCTGAAAATTAGCTAAGGGCTAGGCAAGGTGGGAGTAAATCGATCAATTCTAGATTGGATTTCCTTGCTCTACACAGGGATTGGCTTTCTGAATGACTCCACTTACCACTACAAATAGCTGAGAGAGGCTAATAAGGAAGCTTGCTTTAGCAAAGCCTCACAAAATCTGTGAGTTAGTGAAGACTAAAGGGAGTTTCTCTCCCTCTCCTTAGGTAAGTAGATTACTAGGGGAAGAACTAGAAAAATCCTTTTCCTTATCAAACATTTATAGGTCACCTTGAGGGGGAAAAAAAGACACCCTGCCTCCCAATATCCTGCTGATCTCAAGTCTATAGTAAAATAGAGGATACACTCAAGGGGGAAAAATCTCTCCTGAAGAAAGGAGCAGGCCAAAGAAGTTTACTAAGAAATGCCTATCTCGAAAAGAAACTCAGCGCGTGGAACTGACACTTGAAGGGCAGGGGGTAAAGGAGAGGGGAAGGAGAGGGGAAGGAAGAGACCGGCAGGTGGGGAAGAGAGTTTAATATCTTCTTCCTTTTCCTGTTTCCAGGACAGATGAGGGAGAATCTCCCTACCTCCAGCTCTCAAATGCGGGGCTAGCCAGCTAGGAGACTCAGCCAGCAAGGAGGAGCCACACCGGTCAGACGGGGTGTGGGCCCGCCTCTCTGCTCCACACCACACACCCACACACACCCTCCGCGGCTTCTCTCGCTCCGGAAGAGCCGGTTACTCCTGTGCACACTGACTACCCCCACCCCTTCCGAGCCCCAGGCCTAGTCTCCAGGGCAACTTCTAGGACAGTCCCTGACAGTCGAGGTTGGGGAGAGGTACTGGAGAGGACCACCGGGATTACAAAAGAAAAAGGGACAGGATCTCACTTTTCCCATCTGGTACAGAGGACTGCAATCACCCTTATCCCTGAATGAGACCCCGCCTTTTCCCATTTAATCAGGCAATCTTCCTAGCATTCTGAAAGATGATGGTCAACAGCCAAAATGCTCAAGAGCTGGGTGTTTATTTCTTGCCAGAAGCCACCCCAAGTAGCAGCTGTGCTTCTCCCTCCCATCCAGACAGCGAGAGCACACTGACCCTGTATGTCCATAAACATTTTTCAATTCCATCAGATGTGGCTAATAACCTACCAAACTCCCTGTTAAGAAGCTACTAGAAGGGCCAGAGATAAAGCTCAATGGCACAAATGCCTGCGTCAAGCACAAGGTCCTGAGTTCAATTCCTGATACCCATCAAAAAAAAAAAAAAAAAAAGCTACTAGAAAGGGGAAGGGGGAAAGGATCATTTTATCACTAATTAAGAGTGTCTAGGAAACTGATTCCCTCAAGACAGGTCAGGGGAAGAGAAAAAGCGGAGAGAGAAATTAGTACCTGCTCCCCTTTCTAACCCTCTTTTCTGCTGCACTTGCTTAATTCTGAGGTTAGCTGCCACAGTGCTGGCTCCACTCCGCAGCTAGATGGCAGGGTCCAGGAGGAGGAAGGGAAAAGGGGAGTCCTACTACGCCTAGCTCTACCTCCTTCCTTCTCCGCCTCCAGACACTCCTAACATCCAACCCCAAGCACCACTACAGACCTGGACCTCGGTCACCTTCCTACTATGCCCTCCCAACCTCCTGGAACACAATTCAGAAAAGTGTTTATCGAATCCTGACACTTAGTCCCCAATTTGCAGGTGATGGGTGGGAATGAAAGCACAAAAGAGCAGAGTTAGGGATGCAGTTGGATTTAAGGAGAAAGAGAATTTCCTACTCGAGGTAGGGTAATTATAAGACCTCCCTTCTTGCTAGCAGAATGGATCATATTGTTAATAGGATCTAGTGGAGAGATGGCTCTCAGCCCTGTAACCATTCCAATTGGTCCCCTCCTCCCTTAAATCAGAGCATAACAGCCCTCTCCTCATCTTGGGGAGGCAAGATTCTTCCATAATGTATTAAAAGGCAAATTCTCTTCTCTCCAAGTTGGCCAGTGCCCCTCAGTTTAGTCTTGGGATAGAGGTTCCCCTTACATCTTGAATGGAGGTTGGCTTTCCCTCGCCTCACTCAGCACCCTGTGTCCCTCAGGGATTTGATTTAGTACAGACCCCTACCCGTTTACCCTAACAGCCGCTAGCCGGCACACCCGGGCCAGGGGTTCCTGGATCGTGGGGGAGGGTCGTCGGAGGCCGGAACGGCCAACCCGGGGCCCAGAACCGGGCCCTTCCCACCTGGGCGCTGTGGGCGGAGCTGGGGTCGGACCCCAAACTCTGGAGACTAGGGGTGGGGCGACCGCAGCGGAGACGCTGGAGGCGGTACTTCGAGAACTGAGCGTAGCCGGGCTGCGGAAGGGGTTGCCCCTGCCCCGGCCCTTACTGCGGGAGACGGGAGGAGCTGTGGTGGCGGTTGTCCTCACTTTGTTGGGGTTAGGATGGCGTGGGAAAGCGCTAATTCCAGAAGAGGGAGGCAAAACCTGGACCGCGGGAGATGTTTCTGGCAATGACGACGCGGGGGAGGGGAGCTCCTAGGCCTGGCTGGGAGGGGCACCGGAGAGGATGACGGCTAGGCGTGAGAAGCCTCTGGATTCCGGCCGCCGAGCGCGAGAAGCCGGCGAGTAGAGAGCGCGGGTTACGAGGAAGGGCAGCTCCCGGGAGAGGCTCGAGTCCCGAACCCCGGGCCGGGAACGGTGACTGGGACTCTGGGCCGGAGGTGGGGGCCGGGCCTCACCTGGAGCGGGGCCGGGCCGCGGGCTGCGGCGGCGCAGGTGGCGGAGCGGGGCGGCGTCGCCTCCTCCTCCAGCCCTGGGCCGCCGGCGGGGGAGGGGGAGGTGGCGCTTAAAGGGGCAGGAGCTACCGGGGTGAGGAGTTACTGGGGAGGGCGGCCGCCGAGGCTCCGCTGGGGGGCGGGGGGGCGGCGGGTGGTGTCTTAGGCCAGAACCAGGAAGGATCCCAGATGGAGGAAGAGAGCAGATCCCAGGAAGAGGCAGAAACTTAGGCGGCGAAGTAGGAGGAAGGTTCCGAACGGGAGTACTTGGGAGAGCGGTGCCTGCGCTCCTGGGGTGCTGTGAAGACCTCTGCACAAAGGAGGCTGGGAAAGCAGTGGGAGCCACAAGGACTCCAGCAAGGCCCAGAGTGCTGAGAGTCACGCGCAGCTCCCTATGAGGTGAACAAGTCCCCAGTTTCACCACCTCCTCTAGGCCCCATCCGCACAACTGTGGAGCTTCTGGAATCAGGAAGCCACAAGGGCAAAACCATCCCGTCCGCTCAAGCTGTTTTACCTTAGTGTCCTCTTGTCTAATAGCCTGACACAGGCTGATGTGAGACCGTGAGAATCGCTTTTATTTGTACTTTAGTTTTGTCCCATCCACCATCACCCTTGCAGCA